TTGAGTGTAAGGTGCATCATTGGCCGCATTTGTTCGACTAATTATTATTTACCTTTTTGATGTCATTCCGAAACCAATCAACATATACATATCTCTTACCTTTGATGTGCATTTTGAAAATTAGGAAGCTCTACTCATTATTGTCTCAAGCCTATTACACTTTTCTCTCAATCTTCTGTCGCCTTCGAGTACTAGGTATGTTTTCTAAATTACGAGAAAAAAGGGTAAACAATAAAAAAAAAATCACACACACTTGAATGAAACACCGTACATTCACATTGCATCTGACAACGCAAATACCCGATTCTTTTTTCTTCTGTTCAACATATTTTTCATACTCAATATTTTCACTTTACAATAATAATTAGGGCCCCAGTTAAATACTCCAAAACGCGACATGCAAGATCGAATTATTATTATTTTGCACTCTGTATTTTTTGTAAATGCTTTTGTTGCAACACTGTTGGATAATTAATGCTTAAGTGAATGTCTGTGATTATATGCAATTTCACGATTCTTAACCGATTGCATACATACACACACACACTGTGTGTACTGGCACGCTCATATCGGAGAATGTGGATTGTGCAGACGAAAGAGAAAAGTCACATATTCCAATTTAAAAAGTCACACTGTGGAGGCAGTTACCATTTCCTGTATGTATCTGCCTTCAAGATGCATTCGTTGAGGTTGTAATGAATTTGTCTGGCTCGCGCGCGCACACACGGAGATAGAGAATCACTATCAAAGATAGATAGAGGATGAGAGAGTGAACTGTATGGTAATGAGATAAGCATCAGATGAATTTGAACTTTCTTAGCACATCGATTTTTCGCACTTCCTCTCAAAACGCAAGCTAAATTGAAAAATTGACACCGCCGCTTTCAGAAAATTGCCTTCAAGGCAAAACGAAGAAATGACTAGTTCAATGCACTCGAAAGTGATGTGCTCAATTGAATTGAATGCGATCATTCAAGATGTGCTTTATTTCGATGAAAAATAATGTAATTTCCATTAAAGCAATGCTTTTAATATTTCAAAAACACATTACAAAATTACAAAATTAATGGGATATATTATTAATGGGAAATTTATATAGAAAAGATATTATGTTAAGCATTCATCCAAGAGAATTGCACATTTTAATGTGAAAAACTTACATTTTTGCATGCATTCTTCATAATATTCTGAAGAATTTAAGAGGTAAATTTCGTAAGCAAGTTAAATTGAAAGATGTTCAAACGCTACGCATTACACATACCTGTCCCTCTCTCCTCCCGCTCTCTCTCTAGAGAAAAAGAGGGATGGAGAAGAGAAAGAGTGCTCTTCAAATTAACATTTTTCGGATGTGAATGATGGAAAATGCATTAATCAAAAGAGTCTGCTTTGCAAAAGCAAACGAAAAAAGCGAGCGGTATTTTTTTCTTGCTTCAAAGAAAAAAGAAGAAGCAAAAAAAGCTGCTTCGCAAAGCACGAAGAATATAGTGACTTCCCAAGGAAAGTTATAATAAAGCAAAACGATATGAGATATGTGCAATGCCATGAACTTGTTTTGTGAAGGAGGAACAATGCAAATTGCAATTGAGTGTCTGAGCGTTTAACAGCAGAGCAAAAAAAATCGTACGCTGCATCCACAAGATATTTGGTTCAAAGAGATAAATAACACGCATAACAACTGCGTGTACCAGGCAGTGTAAACTGCAAACTAAAACTACATGCTGCGGTATTGCGTCGTTTTTCCATCCGTTACGAAAACGGATTAAGCATTTTAGAAGTAAAAAAAAAACACACGACAGAATTCGAATAAAAAAAAGTCGTGCATTAACAAAGGTTCATTATGATATTCTTACGCGCGCGCACACTCACTCACAAAATATCAATTTATTCGATAAAAATCTAGGAAAAATGTGAAACGGCTCGGTTGGAATTAGGTTGGACTACTTCTTACACATACACATCATGTGTGTTCGCCATTGCAAACATCTACTTGCGTTTCAATCGCGCGTACTAGTTTTAATGATGAATTACTGATGGAAAAAAACTTGTTCTCGTTCGTTCATTTTTTCTTTCATTCTTTCCTCAACCGCAATTTTTTTCTGCTTTCATATGAGAGACTTTGACACTTTTCACAGCAATATTGATGGCCAGTTGATTTGCAATGCATTCAAGTAAATTTATGATGATTTCGATGGAAGTTTGATGATAGAAATAAAAAAATATTATGGACACGGCGACAATACTGCTGATGATTATAATGGGAAATTCGATTGGATACCATGAAAGTGGACGCAACTGGCGAACATTTGTCTTTTTGAAAGAAATCGAGAAATGATGTTTTAAGTGTGCACGGTTCATTCTTTTGCGAATGAAACACGTTACGTAGCACTTGAAATCGATCGGTTCGCTTTGTGAGATATGTGTCTTCCATGTATCCATTTCAATTGAGATTTAAAGAAGTATGCAAGCGCGGTCGCGCTCACTCTCCCAAGCAATCGCCTTCGACCATTTAAATTCTTCCAATTAATGAGATATATGTTATTTTGATTTTGTTTGATTGTTGGCTTTCCACATGAGTGTAATAACGACAGCCGTACAAATCCACATTTTCGTATCGGTGCGAGAAAAAAAAGAAACACCATTTCTATATTAGATCGCCAGAAACAAAATCATGCTGTTTGAATAAATCGAATGCCAATCGACAGTAATCCAATGTGATCGAATAGAATGAAATAAACGAAAAACAAAAAAAGGCACACACAACAACAACAACAACAACTAAAAATGAATTGAGATTTACAGATGTGGAAAAGCATTTCCATCAAAATAGAATGTGTGTTCAAACACGTACTATGTTATTAACATGCTGTGTGTGCGCCACGACACACGGCAGTCCAAAATGTGCAGCATCTTTTCTCATCTGAACGCGCTCGCGCCACTTCGCCCGCCCGATCAAATCATCATCATCGCGACGGCGGTGGCAGCAACAGCAGCAACACTATAGCAAAGCGTCAAGCTGACGACTTGCTATTTTTACAGCATCGACACATTTAACACGGTGTAAACAATTTTCGACAGTAATAACGGTACATAGTCAGTCGCATATGAATTTATTGGCTAAAATGGTTGATTTTCTGCGCTTTATCCATTACTACTATTCGACATGTATAGACAGAGACAGAGCAAGAGATACATTCAATACTGATATAAACATAAAGCACTTTTATCCATAATAAATTCGATTGCGAGAAGAAAAAGAAAAAAAATCATGAAGCAAATTGCTGGCACACAATGTATGCTTTGGCATCTCATCGACGAGCCGCGACGACGATGATGACGATGAGGATGATAATGCTATATGGCACCATGGAAAGAGGTTGCCAGTCACAGAGAAGAAAAGTGAAAGAAAGGGCGTTATTTAATTTGAAAAATTACAACATTCTGGAAAATCATTTTCATGCATCGCAAAAGGATAACTCACATTAATTGAAGTCGCCGTATAGCGTGTTTTTTATTCGTCAATTTTGATTGATAATGGATCTTATCTCGGTCAAATATTGAAAAGAAAGATGCGACTTTTTAAAAAAGAAATAATATAATAAGAAAAACAACGAAAAACGATCATAAAATTATTATTATTATTTTTTGTTCATAAAAAAATCAACATTTTTTTAAAACTCTCACACTTCTTCACATTCATGCTGAGTGTGTCACTAAGTAATGACTTGCATTGACGATGATATAAAACAACGAGCACTTTTATTGCTTCCTCTAGTTGCATGCGCTTGCTATATCTCTCTCTATCTCTATCTATCTATCTCTCTCGCCGTCCTCTTTGTACAAAATGTTGTGATGTCATTTTGCTTCATTGATTCAGCTGTTAATCACATCTGACGCTGTCGTTCACATACTGCCACGATGCACACTCATTGCGATTACGACGTTGTTCAATAAAATAAAAGAGAGAAAAAAAATAGAGAACCTGGTTGATGCATTCAAATTACATGGCACAAATCAATTTTTCCTCTGCATAACACTGAATTTGATATTATTTGCGGTTTTTGTGCAGAGCGACAAACAACAGGCAAGCAATATTGTGAAGAAAAAACAACACACAGAATTTTACCGTCACCATATGGACAATATGATACGATTAGCAATTGCAAATTGCACCGGGAAAATATGTATAAAGCATGAAAAAAAATCTTTCATAAACAATATTCATCATCATCTGGTCGTAGTCATCGTCGTCGCCAATAAATGTGGAGCAATAAATCTTCGTCAATTTTATTTGACCCAAAACAGAATTGAAATTGATTCGCTCTAGCGAAATTGCGCGCACCGGGCCAAAATTAATGCGGAAAAAATCGTATATTATGCTAACGAGCCATTCAACGGCCTGTTATTCGGTCAAATCACAACGAATTTACAACTAAATCCAACACCTGAATGGGTAACGGAATTATTGTGCACGTGAATTGTGACACCGATTATTGTGAATATGGAGTTTTCTCTCCCTCTCTCTCTCTCCTCCGTTTGAACGAACATGAACAGTTTTCAATGAATTAAACGAACGATATATTCGTACAAAATATGAAGAAATTGACAAGTTTTCCAATGAATTTGAATTTGCGTAAAAATTACGAGACTTGATGACATATAATTTGCTAATTTTTAAAATCCATTTTAAAATGCTTTTTTTTATTCTGGTTTGGTCTCAAGAGAAAAAAAAAAAAAACGAAGAAAAAGATGAATGAGATGAGTTGAGTTTTTTTCTACCATCAAGTCTTTTCCTGAAATAGAGGTGTATCGAATTCAAGTAGTTGATTTATTCGAAAAGAACAAAAAAAGAGTATATACTTTTTTTGTCAAGATCTTGATCATTATTAATTACCAAACATATTTCAAATCATAAAATTTAAATCTATTTTCTTGTTTATTTCAATGCTAATCGTTCAAAGAAATTAATTTATTTTTTCTTTCTCTCTCGTTCTCTCTTTTAGATTTGTTTCAGATGCAGTCGTAGAATGTACAAAATGGGGAAGGTTGATGGGCGTTATTAGAATGGAAATCCGTTAAATAATTTAGTACAAACTGTTCGAAAAGAGAGTATCGGATTTTGTTTGTCAGAACAAAAAGTAGACAGGCAATAGTAGTAGCGCAAACGTGAAAGCGATAAAAACGAACCCTCATTTCAAAATTATCAAAAACATTGGTAAAAAAAAATCAAAGGCAAAAATTCAATAAACAAACATGGATCAGGCACCAATTTTAGCTGGTGGTGATGGTTTCGACGATGATCCACCGCCAGAACCACGTGAAGGATGGCTTTTAGTTCGAGTTCATGTGCCCGAATTGAATGTGTTCAAATGTCTTCAGTTCCCATCGGATCGGCTCGTTTGGGATGTAAAACAACAGGTGTTAGCATCACTACCAAAGGTAAACTAACTGCAATTGATGACATTCAAAATCATATACAACAATTGAATCAACAATCAATTCAAGGCAAACATACACAATATGAATTTCAGTATAGATATAATAATAACCGTTTTTGCCACGTGATGTAATCAGTTTGCTTTTGTCATACAGTTTCTGAAATGCAAATTGTTGTCTATTGTGTGAACTTCAATAAAAAAAAAGTTATATACAACGAAGCATCACGCGAATACTCATAAAAACACACATTCATTCATTCACACGCGAAATATAAAAAAACGGCAAATAATGCTTTACAAAAGGATGACAAAAAATATGAATATGAATAAGATTTAATAACTTTATGAGTTCATCACAAATAAAAAAAAACTGTAACAAGGTAAAAAAAAATTCGATCATAAAGGTTAACATATTGTTATTTTTTCTATTCATTCGGTTCGTTGATGTTTCTAACGAATACTCTTGTTATATCGGCTGAAAATAAAAAAAATCTGTCGATCCAAAGATGATTGTCTATGTGTGCGAGAATTCATCGTTTCAGATGTCAGCAATGAAACCGGTAATTTTTTGCACAAAACGATCGTAGACGTAAAGTCGGGAGCCAATTTAAACTCACCCAATTTGGCCAATTTCTATACATATTTATAAAATTTTATGAATCAAATAACATAATCGTTGCATTTATTTAACCAAAAAAAAGATAAAGAAGAAAAGAAAACGTTTATTCCATACGATGTGGTGCGCGATGCAATTTCGGTCCGGTTTTTTGTTAGAAATTCTTGATTTCAAGAAATTGACTGATTCAATTATATATTATATTTCCCGTTCATTTTCTTCCTTCAAACACCACACATAATTGGATGTAAATGTGCCGCGTGAAGCCACATTTGCGATGCGATTCTTCACTTTGATGGTTTTGAAGGAGAATGAGAAAAATAAGCACTAATATTTTATCATAATTTTGTAGTTGCTGAACGTTGGAAATGTTGTAGTTGTGGCTGACACAAAATGACTTGCCTTTGATTATTTCTAATGAAATGAGCAAGCCGTTTTGCATCGTTTAGATATTTTTTTTTCGTTGTTCTACAGTTCCTTTATATTTCTTTGCTATCCAATTTTCAACGTCTTTGATGTTTCATTTGAACGCTTTTGGAATCAAAACGACACTTGCGTTTTAAATCGTTTGTAATATTTTTTTTATTTTTGCTCAAGATTCCTCGTTTCGCATTTAAATGGCACATGTCCATTGGCATTACACACATAGTCTCTGGTTACTTAATAAGAAATTTAAACCAACAAAAAAACGATCAACTCAAAAAAAAATTGAACTAAAGAGGATAGAAAGAGAGTTCAAACATACATTAAACAAGAATTGTATACGGATTTGCAAGTAGTTTTAATCGGTTGTGATTGAGAGCGCACATACCGCCACATTTGCGGGGCCCGAAAACAGTACGGAGAAAACATAGATGCTGCTGGAAAATTTATTGCATTAATAACTATAACGGTTGCCATCTTGTTCCTCCATGTGTGTATCAAACCGAAAGAATCTCATTCATCGTCGTTGAATAGAAACATTTCGCGCCCCACAATCACACTACATCTCTTGTTTTGATTCTCGCGTTGTTGTTCGGTTCTTTTTTTTTTGTTTCGTTTGCGTCGTTTCTGTTGTTTTCCGTTCGTTCTCTTCGATGGATTTGATTTTCTTTTGCCAAGAATGCATCTTAATTATGAGCATGTGTGTATGTGTGTGAAATATTTTTACGAGATTTTTTGATACCGCTAATACCAGCTATTTGGAAGATGAATTAGCAAAGATTTTGAGCCGAAAACAAAAGAAGAAAGCATCTCAACTATGAGGTTGAAATGTTAGAATGCGCCATATGCATTAAAAATCAATACGAATGAGCTGTTACTTTTATTACTCAGCGTTTTCTTTTTTCCTATCATAAGTTTTCGACCGAGAATTCTACATATTATCGTTTCAAATTGCCTACATCTAGTTTGATATATTCAGCTCCATCGTCGTCGTCGTTGACGCCGTTGTCGTTTTATAGTTATTATGTGAAGTTTGGAAACGAACGTCTTTAAGTTGCTTTTGATTTATTGCGCAATAAAAATCAGTTTGCTCGTTTTGCTGATTTTCAGTGTGCAGGCCACATTTGCAATACGGTTGATGGGTTGTCGTACAATTATAGATTCTAAATCATTTGATGGTCAAGCGTTTGGGTATCTGTGTGCGAGTGAGTGATTGTCTGAAAACGAAGAAATCAAATGAGAAAGAAAGGGCGAAAGAGTAAAGACTCATACACAGACACACTCACACGGACAGACAGAGAGCCATATATGATGAAGAGGCGGTGTAGCAATGGCGACTGAAGGATGAGTCGTGAAATTATATCATCCAGTTGCACATAGCCAATCCATCGGCATAATGGTACAATCCATCAAATATAACATTGAACATGATTACAGCCGTTGAAATTAATTTATTACACAAAATATAACTGCTACGAGAGAGTTCTATCAGCGACACATTTCGTCGCTGTCATTTAATAACAAGATGATCAACATGTATGCTCATGACATGCATTAGATTACATCGTAATGTAACTCGATATCATGGAATTCCAAGATTTGCCTTAAGGATACACGCCATACACACACACACATTTTTGTGCACGTTCGTTTTCGATGTATGGCCACCTAATGTATTTTCATACGATTTTGCTTGCAAAGACGAACGGAAATGCCCTCGGCCAAAAACATTAAAAATCCGCATTGAATGTCAATTTTTATCATTTTGAAATTGTCGTCATTTGTTCAAAATATATATCGAATGTCAATCGTCACGATTATCGCTTGCAAATTTAATTAAAACTAATTAACGGGCTAGACAAAAATGGCTGCAATACCAATTTTGGTGATTTCACGCCACGACAAATGGAAATACCAATTTCGATGAGCAAAACTAATAAGATAATTGCAATTTTATTGCAGAAACATGTTTCTTTTTTGTTTGTTTTCACATTCTTTCATACTCACATTTTCCTTTTAATGATATATTTCCATTTGTAAATAACATTTTGGCCAAATGCAATCAAAAATCGATGAAATCTTGTTTCTATATTGCGCAATAACATTGAGTCTCTTTCGAAAATTGAAAACAAAAATGTTAAATGTTGTTGATAAACATTTATAAAAACGACAAAAAAAATTAAAAGCATTCAATGCGCCATATACAAATCATTGGAACAATCTTTAACAGCACGATTCGTGCGAATGTGCGTCGTTGGGATTGTATTTCTGCGAAAATGAAGCGTATATTTATTGCGATGCGTAATTTTCAAAATTACGTAATTTTCCAATCGGAATTCATTTATCATATTGATGACATTTGATTGCGAATCGTTATCTGCGTAGTCACTGTGAACTTCAATAGTAAATATCGCATAAACAATCCAAATAAACCATAAAGTCATGTTTTTTTTTTTATTATTCCATTACCATTATTGATTGTATTCTTTCGAAAAAATAAATAAGTCAACGTTCTGTTATTTAAAGAATGCAAAAATCCGTCCATTTGATCAAAATATATTTTGTAAAAATACAGAAGATATGGCATGGCACTGCGTTAAAATATATTACATTCACATTAAAACGATTATCGATGGATACATACAGTGACCGTTTGGGCTATTAACACAATATGATTTATGTTTCATGCGCTTTGCTACTTATATAGAAAGTTTAATTTTTATGGCAACTGTAATCAACAATTCGAAATGGTCGATGAAGTCGACAGTCGATCCCGTATGTGACCAATCAAACATAATATCCGCGCTTAGATAATATTTTCTCACATCGTGCGCGCATGAATTCAGTAAGCAACGAATAATTAATTGAGATTCATAAAGTGTCTTTATAAAACGAAAATTTTTGATTTCAGCAAAACGCACTCAAAACCCACCAAATTTCATTTTAATAACTGAATATTGATTGAGAACTAATAGATAGTGCCATCGCAAATTTTGTTAGTATCGAAAGTTTTTTTTTTCTCTCAACACAAAGACTCAGCACGTCAAACTCAGAAAGAAAGTGCACGAGGAAGAGAGAGAGAGAGAGAAGCAAAGTGAAAACGTCAAAAGCACAACAAAATCGATTCGTATTTGTTTCGGCTACTAAGCAGCCATTTGTGGCATTGATGAGCCCATGGAGAGATTGGTTCTTTTATGTATCATTTTACGATCGCATTTAAAATCAATTTTATGAAGCTTGAAACGATAAATGTCGGTCGATGCAATGGACTTCCAAACCATATTTAACGCAACGCTTTTTGTTTGCATAAAAAAAGCATTGCCCAATTATGTGTCGCATAAATAAATGTCCTCTATGTACTTTGTATTATTTGATTAATTCTTTAATTTCCTTTTGCCATGAAAGTAAATGTTGTCAACCGAATTGAATCGAGCAGCGAATTTATTTTGACGGTAAAAAAGAGTATTTAATTAAAACATGAAATGAAATGGAAAATGCAATTAAATTGACCTGCAACTTCAAAATGAATCGGCACATTTTTTGTCCCTTATCGTTTATGTGTGGTTCGACTCACGCGTACGTTATGTGTCATTTTCATTTTTAAGCACTTTACCCAAACCAAAATATGTACCACATAAAATACTCTTTTTTTTTTGTTGGGCGCTCTCTCTCTCTCATGCTGTGAATTTACACATAGGCCCCTTTGAAAATGTGCACGTCCATCGTATCGGATCGTATCAAAACGCTTGTTGTCTCTTTTTATTCACGTCAATTTTTGGAAAAAGTCACATACATTTTTTTAATGAATTACTCAAATAAGTCATACAATTTAGTTTTAATGTTGTGTTTGATTTCTTCTTTTTTTTGTTTCATCTCATTTTTGTGTGTACATTTTAATTTATGATATTCGACGCAAAAAAAAAAAAAATACGGAAAATGATGTACGGACTGAAAACGGTTTCGTGGAATGTGCACACAATCAATTGTATGCTTATTTGCATTCGACCGTTGTTTTTGTTGGCAACAAACAATTGATCGCATTTTGATAACAAAATGTTCACGTTTTCTTGTGAAAATGACGAATTTGTTCGATCAACACGATTTACAACGACAACTTTATTTAACTACAACATCGTCGTCAACGACACCAACAACAACATCAACAATACAATACATTTTGTAAACAGGTTGCTTTCTGGTTCAGGGTATGTGTTTTTGCATGCCAATTTATTGTCATACATTATGTTACGACTGTTTCTATATCTTTCCGTCAACGTCTTTCCCATTTTTTTTTGTTGTGTTTTGTTTATAATCATTGCAAGCAAATCTATTTCCTCGAATCATTCCAATTCTCGCCTCTAAACATTGTTTATGCGCGCATTCCATTTTTTTTCTTACCTACACATCATCAACATACAAAAATGTATCGACGTTTGTGTATATTTTCATACTTTATCATATGTATATTCTTGTTCATTCATTCAATTCGTTATTAATTCCGGTGAATATTTTGCATTTATGACTACTATATACAGTACATTCAACATTCAAAAGTGACTTGCTTTAGGCATAATTGGGTATGCTCTCACACCAAAAGATACTGGATAAATTGTGTTGAAATCATGATTTGAGTAATTTTAATTCAAATGTGAAACCGTTGAGATTTGTTTGGAGTATGGTGACATCGGTATCGGTCGCTTGAAAACTTCCATTTCACTCTTGAAACTTTCCACAAAAAGTTCTTGAAAATTGACCACTTCAAGCTGTTTTCCATGTTGGTATTATTCATAGCCAGCCATCATTATCCAGTGAAAGAAACTTCAATTATGGTCTTTCGGGTATTTGTTTGCGAGTTTGTTTATGAGCTGTTAATTAACATGCACACATACACACACACATTTCACAAAGCAAGTAGTTGATTTTCAGTGTGCAATTGTGTGTCTGCTGTAGAGGTGTGACATATAAATCAAATTATTGTACATTTTGATTATGTTTATGTCGAAAGGTTCAATTTAGACGCAATCACTTTTTCTTTACTTTTCCGTATACACATCACGCTGGTACCTTTTTTAATCCGTTGATCCAGGCAAATGTGTGAGATTTTAATCAAATACGAAAAAAAAAGTCGGAAAACTTTGATTAGATTTGATTTTGAAAGAGAAACAGAAAAAAAAGATCTCTTTCCACACTCTCTAATTAATAATTTCGGTTATATTTCGCATGTGAAATCTGCATCGCATCGTAATTCTATTTCGCTTCCATTTCAAATTCGATAATTTGTGCGCGCAACTGAAAATGATCAACAATGATTGACAGCCACGATTTTTCATTTTTCCATTTATTTCGTTATATCGTTGAGTCTTATTAGATATTTTGCGAGTCGTAACACACATAAAACATCCACACAGACACAGAACATTGACCAACCACAATGAGAAATCAACGATAATTTATCAATTTGAATGGAATGATTTTGTTTCAATGAACTCTGCCAACACTGAGACACCGAGCCCCGAATTTTAAGCCGATATACACACACACACGACACGGAGTGAAATGACATGGTGATATTTGATTATAATGTGTTTAATGAGCGTGTTGACGGTTGTAAGTGATCTAGTGTAAATTCAAAATATGATGAACTTTTTTTTGAATTGAAACCATTTGCTTTGTACGTATGAGTGTCGGGTCATAAAGCTCATATCAGCAACGGAACAATCATCTCGGAACCAATAAACGGTACCACACGACAAAAAAAAAAAGAATGAAAAATGATTTGTTGACCAAACAAAAAAGAAATTCGCCATAATCAATCAGTTGATTGTTTTGTGCGGGACAAAAACTGCACTTGATTTAATGAGAATTGAATGAAAGTGTTGACGGTATTCATAAAATATGATTCGTCAAATTTCCGATGAAAGTGGACACACAAGCCCGCACGTGTGTTGTTTGTAAGTGACATTCATGCGATGGAAGATCAGTTCGTGTTTTTTTTCCGTTGTTGTTTTAAATCATTTCATGGTCCAGTTCTTATGATCGTCAATTGTTGCTACTGCTACTTCATATTCTCTTTTGAACACACTCTTCATAAATGCCGTCATTTTGCTGAAACATAATTAAAAGCACACTCATTTACACAAATGAGTAGCATTTTACAATAGTTCGTAAACACAACGTAATTCTTTTACTCGAATCGAGACATTGAGAGCGGCCAACAACATTTTAGTTTTGAATTTTAATCGGCACTTGTTGTGCAGAAGCGGTAGAATGTGTGTGTGTGAGAAAGAGTGAGAAGAAAAGAAACCCAATCGAGTTTTCACTGAGACAAGAATACACTTGATTTTTTTGTTGTTCTTTTTTCTCTCTTTCGCATCAAGTTGACAACAACCGAAAATGCGAGCAAATCAACACATTTTGACACACATTGAATTTAATGTGACCAATAAAACCACACGGTCGTATGGAAGCATCTTCACTTAAAGGCCATAATTTTCGTCACATTTGAATAGATAAATGCGAATAGATAACGCATATCTTTACGCATCGTACCGATCCAATGAATATTTGTTGTTGTTTTAACGAAATAAAAAAAAAGAAAATAAAACAACACCGTGCATAGAATGATTCTTGTGAATTTCATGGCGAGATATTTTGGTTAGAAATTTCAGATCACACCCGGTGTTTGATTTGTTTTTCTCTTTATATTTTAATTTCATTTCGTTTTTGGCCAAAGCGGTCGAAGGTATATCTATGCGATCATTGGACGCAGTTAGAATTACTTTAATGGTAACATGTATCCATTAAAATGTTCCAAATCGAAAATTACATTCTAAACAGCGCAGTTGCCGGACATTAGATTTCTAACGAAGCCAAAAAAAAAACATTGAAACCTTGATCGTATTCATCAATCCAGAAAAAAGAACATAAAATTCGTTTAAAAGACAATACACATCTCGCTTTGGTTTAGTCTCCAAAATTGATCAATTCCAGCTAAGAACAAGAGGCTGAAAAAAAACATTACGCGAACGAGAACATTCGAATTAGCATGAGTTGCCTTCAAGACATATTATATATTTAAACTGGCGAACAATCGATTTTCAAAACGAAATTTGATTTTTCATTTACATGATTTGTTTCATGTAGTTTTCGGGGTATTTAGAGAGAGAAAAAAAAGAACAACAACAAAATTCAGCGCAATGAGGTTAACTATCCGATCTGGATAATCCGATGAGACTTTCATTCAATGAACCATAACCAGCGACTTTCAATTTTTCAACGTAAATTACGTGAAGAGCACTACAAAATAACAAGGCAAGACCGACAAAAATTCAAACGAGAGAAACACCGAACATAGTTATTAACCGTTATAGCATGGACGATCAAGAGAAATGTTGACGACGTATTTGGCGAAAAAATTATGTTACCCGCGCATCAATCGCCAATTTTTCACTTTGTACCGTTTCGATGCACACACACACAGACACACTCTGGTCGCAAAGTTGACACGGCGCTCTGAAGAAGTTTAAGTGAATTCATGAGATTGGTGTAGAGATAAGTGCGTCAAGTTATTTTCAATTTGAATATTTGAAATAGACCGCAAATAAAATGCTTGCAATTAATAATGATTATTGCTAATGTTTGGTCCACGTTGGGCCGAACAAACAAGCAGAAGAAAAAAAAACAAGAGAACAGCCTAACAATAACAATAAAATAAGCATAAAAACTAATGATTGATTTTTGTTGTGGTCAATTCATTAAATGAAACTGTCTGTAAGTAACAAACAGAATGACATTTGGTTGATGTGACTTGCGAAGCAAGTAACCGAAAAAAAAAACAACAACGAATTTTTCAATCTCCATCAACGATGAAATTACCAACATGGTGTTTTGCACGTGGATTGGTTTCACCTTTGTGCGACTTTATTTGATTTAAAACTCTTTTGTTCTGCTCAAAAATCAATTTCACTCAAACCGATACAATACATACATCGTCCGATGAAAGAGATAGACGAGGAGAAGAAGGAGAGGAGAAACAAAAACCACCGCCACACACACACACAAACAATCCGCCAAACAAACAAATTGAAATACTTTATACGGTTCGAAACGTGACGTAGCTGCTGTTGCTCTCTGACCATAAAAATGTTGTGGCCGAACTACAGTGGAAGTTTGTAGGTTTCGGTAGCAATTAATTCGTGGGTGCCGATTGTTCAGCACTCTCAGCATAAGAAACACTAATTAATACACTTTGCTCACCGACTGCTACAATTTGAAATGCTTTACCCGTTGCATTTGTATAAAAACAGTAACATTTTGCGTTGTGTTTATTGCATTTGGAACACTTTGACATGATGGCGCATCAAGGTCGAGACGGATTTACATGCAAACGCCCCATCTTAATGTGGCTAATTACATGCGATTATTATTCTTGTTCCTTTGTCCGTCGTGGTTGTTGTTTTATTACGCTTTGATACAAATTATTTATTTGTTTGTGCTCTTTTTTGTTCGCCTTCTTGTTCATGAGTAAAGTATATTGGCCCAATATAAATTATTCATTTGCCTGATGTTATATAGCCGTATTTGTATTTTGTTTAGTTTTATTTTTATTTTATTTCATTTCTGCACTCCATTCATAATCCGTTCGGCTAATTTCGCAGAACGTGTTTTCGCACCAAAACAGCGTCTTTTGGGACGTACACAACGTTAAATGTGTACGTATATGAAATTGGCGAAAACGAACTTTAATCTATTCCCAACGCGCTTAATTCTTGTCACACGCATTTTACGCTTATCTACATTACGATTATCTCAGCCGATGATTATGATAACGTGCCAACCTTATTCAATATTCGCTAATGAGGTTTTTGTTTTCTTCGCCATTGCTCATGAATGGCTTGCACGCAAATGAATATTATTCTTGCTATACATTTACCAAATTAAATGGATCACATTCCTTTAGATTTTGTATTATTGTTATTATTCGATTTATTAGTTCTTCCATTCACCGTTAAGAAAAGAGTTGTCATTCTAATGATGTCTATAAAAAAAATACCATGATCACTGAAAAATAGAATGGAGATTGCGATAAAACCTCAAAATGCCAATTTTAAAAAGATTTTCCCATTTTTTGATTGGCCGCTAACGGATTTCGTTCGCATAAGAAGAACAGAGCACACAGAGCGCAGAGTCGAACATAGTTAATTTTACTCGATATGCAATGAGTTCAATTGAAATGCGTGTATGCAATGAGACATAGGGAAAAAATAACGAATACAGCTGGCACAAATTGTCAAGCGTCTCATTGTTTTTGACCAGAGCGTGTGAGCGTACATACGCAAACTGAAACGAATGTAAAGCCCAAATCAATACATGATGTTGAATAACTTCTAAATACACTATGAACCTGCATGCATCTACATTTAAAATAAACCGCATGACCACGATGCAATAACAAATGAACGTTGACAACATTCAACATAATCATCTCCCGTTATGCATTGCTCAATTTCTACGCTTCGATTGGCATTTTTTATTTATGCGGTTTAGTGGATGCACAAACCAAATACACAGAACTGATGCTTTGAAATATTTTGTACATGGCCTGTTTCCAACAAAGAGCTAAAATCAAACGACACTGTTCCGTTAAATGTGTGCAAAAGAGTTGCACATCGGAAAAAGATTGACATACACATAAACACAGCACGGCCAAATCTTATTAACTCCAATGGAATTTGCCTGAAAATGACATGGTTCGGTGAACCGTCAAATCAAAAAGAACACTTGCTGAGAGTGTGACTTCATTTTGGATTTTTCTTCGTTCGGTTTTCTTCGTCTTCATCGAATCTTCATGTAAAATTGTTCATTTTGAAATTCGGCCTGTCCAGTTTTAAGGTGAATCCGTTTCAAATGAGAATTATACACACTCGGTTCTTTTTTTTAATTATTCATTTTTTCATTTGAACACACACACAGAGAGAGAGACTTATATATTTGAAACGAATATACACTTGACAACGAAGTGAGTCGCATGCAAGCTCTTTAATCTGTTATATTGATGAATTTCTGAAAATCTGAATTCAATGGAAACCAGTTGGCCATCAGCAATCACTTGAACATATCAAGTGATTTTCGTTGTGTCTCAAGAGAGTCTTTTCAATGAGAAATTTCAACATTTTTCTGCCATTTAATAAAACATTTAAAGATAAATTCTCATAGAACAAACAAACAAAATAATCCACCATTTTCAGTTTAAAATGCTATTGTAATGAAACCAGTATTTCAATCTGTTCTTTTTTTATTTTTAATAATCCCAATCTTCCACTTTCGTTATTGCGTAAAATACATGCTAAACCCACCAAACACGAAAAAAAAAATTGCTATCTAATGACTGTGACTTATAATACATCTCGTTAATCCTTCATTCAGGCCGAATACCATTTATTTTTGTTCTTGATCGAGAAACGTCGCATTTCGTTTCACCGTCAGCATGTTTTATGAACCATTTCAGATAAAATGTATAGCATATTTATTGCGCAAATAAGATGTACAAAGTAAAATCCCCCGCATTTATAAGCCACGAGAAAAACAAACCACCGACTTCAAACCTGCATTTAATCATGAAATCATTCGATCATTTTTCCAGACTGTTTTCTGTACTCTTTTTTTCATGTATTGCTATGGTATTTCTCTATCCGTTGCGGCAGCAAAGGCGTCTGATGTTGCTGCTGCTGTTATTTTTGTATGACATTCCATGAATCAACCCGAAGATTGTGCAAAAAAAAAATTGTGTGATGTTTGACTTTAAGGACTTTGAATGAATTTATAATGTGAATATACTTGAAAGATATCTAATCATTGTTGAAGTCTTTTTTTTATTCACCACATTTTTATATGAGCATGATGGGCGAATCGAAACAATAAATAATTCACTGTCACATCTGAATTGAGCATAATTTGTTTTGTCTTACAGGAACTGAAGGAGAGTTTTAATTATGGTCTATTTTGTCCGCCATCAAACGGTAAGGCGGGCAAATTTCTTGATGAAGAACGACGACTCGGCGATTATCCATTTAATGGGCCCGTTGGATACTTGGAGGTAAGCGCTTTGATTTGGTTCATAAAAAGTGAAGAAAAATTCGAATAAAATGTTGTATGTTTATTTTTTCAGTTAAAGTACAAGCGTCGTGTTTACAAAATGCTCAATCTTGATGAGAAACAATTGAAGTCATTGCATACGAGAGCCAATTTACGTCGTTTTCTTGAGTGCATAAATGGTGGTCATGTGGAAAAAATTGCAAAAATGTGCGCAAAGGGTTTGGATCCAAATTTTCATTGCACCGAATCGGGCGATACACCATTGACGCTTGCAACATGTGCAAAAAAACCAAATAAATTGCTGATCGCACTGGTGAATGGCGGCGCATTGCTTGATTATCGAACAAAGGACGGTGCAACGGCACTTCACAAAGCCGTCGAAAATGATTGCTTAGAAGCTGTCACGTAAGTTGAAAACAATGATGAATACCATTGCTAATATGATAATAATTTTGCGAAACGCATGACAACGATGTTGATTATATGATAATTAATAATGGTGTGTCGTATCTTTCATTTATTGTATTGTTGTTGTTTTTTTTTATTGTAGTACGTTATTGGAATTGGGTGCGTCGCCAAATTATCGCGATGCACGCGGTTTAACGCCGCTTTATTTATCGGTCATCAAGAAAACGGACGCAAAAATATGTGAAAGTTTGTTGCACGATCACGCAACGCTGGGTACACAAGACTCACAGGGCTGGCAAGAAGTGCATCAGGTTTGTAAAAATACAGCTGTTTTTGCAGCACCTCATTTTCCATTATTAAGTAAAACTGTGTTTGGGGTAGCAAAAACTTTTTTGATTTCCTTCTCTCTATCTCTATATCTTTTACTTGGGTTGGGTTTTAAACTATTGAATTTTAAATTATTAATGCAAAATCAGGATGAAATACTTTCATTTACATGGATTATCCGATATGCAATTTTCAATTGAATATGTTTCCGCCGCAGGTGCTGGGTTTATCCTCTTAATGACATATTGAATAATACTTTCGATAGTACGGTGAATCTGTAGTGATTTTGTAGATTTAAGCGAAAAAAACATGGATAAAGGTCATAAGCTCTGAAACGCTCTGTTGCATCGATATTGAACTTAATCGCAACAGCAGCAAACTAATGTAATTTTTAAAAATGAACAAGAACACTCTATTTGATAAATGGAACATTTCTAACAGCCACCGAATGCATTTTTCACATCCGCTCAATAAATATGATATATTTTAGTCTTTTTTTCAAAATTTGCACATTCAAAGGACGTTTTTTTACCTTAAACACACACACACACACATACACACTCAAAGAAATATCAAACGATTAAATGAAAGTCGAAACGAACATCTCAATATAAAAAAAAACTGCATTCACAGGCTTGTCGACATGGTCTAGTTCATCACTTGGAACACTTGCTGTTCTACGGTGCTGATATGGATGGTCGTAATGCTTCCGGTAACACTTCACTGCATGTTTGTGCCGTTAACAACCAAGAAGCTTGCGCTAGAATGTTACTATTTCGTGGTGCCGATCGTGCAGCACTCAATTACGCCAATCAAACACCTTATCAGGTATACACTATTTTCTAACTTAAAAAATGCTTATTTATTTTTTTCACAATCTCTTCAAAAGAAAATTTGCGTTGGTTTTATTTGCGAAAAGGGCTTTGCGAAAAGGTACAATGTCAAAAACGGTCTATTGATGGCATTTAATGTATGCAAAGACAAATTGCGGAAAATTCCGAAAATAGACCGTTTTTGATATTTATTTTAATTTAACTGCATATTTTTTTTTTGTTGAAATCGCTTTAGTTTAGTGTTGCCTCTGTTTTGCTTTCTATCTTTCGCAAAAATGAATTCAAGAAAAACCGAACTTTTCCACATGACAAACGATTTATACTTTTCTCGAAGCTTTTTTTTGTTTATTTACACAAATGTTCAAACATTTACATTTTGCACACCATCACATCTATTTATATGTTTTATGTTAATGAATCATTTTGAAATGGACACACAGGTCGCAGTCATAGCTGGCAATTTAGAATTAGCAGAAATGATCCAGAACTACAAACCCGAGGATATCGGTAAGTATTTGTTTGTGAAACATCGTTCTTGAATGTTTTCGTTATTTTTGTTTCTTTCTCTCTTTTTTTTGTTAATTTAACAGCTTGTTTATGGCTATTTTATATGAATGATTATAATAAACGTTTATTTGTGAGAATTTAAATCCAAAAAAAAAGATATCATCATACGACCCACGCGAAATAATCGATGTAATATTATTGTTAGTGTGTCATCATTTTTGTTCATTCATCAGTGAAAAGACGAGATGATGTTGAGTGCAATTTTTGATCGACTTGCTGCAATACAAAAATACGAGAGATTCCATCTTAAGTTTCTCTTTCATTTCGATTTATTGAGAATTTTGTACAGGCTTTCGTATTGTTTCTTTTACTTTGCAATACTTGTTCTCACAATGTTCTCAGTTGTAGGTTTTTGTACAAGTTGTAGTGGTGCAATATAAATAGCATTCAACCATTGAACAGAGAGCTTTTTATTTCTTACAAGTTGTTTAAAATTCTTCTCTATGTGCGTATTATTCAATTTAAATTTTCATGGAAAATGAAAGCAGCCACTTCTATGTTTTATTGTATTTTAATTAAATTGTCTGCTGAAATACATTCACTTTACGAATCAACAATCCTTGAATGTTATTTTGTAAATAAAATTTATTTACAAATCATGTTATGCCTGGATTTCTATTTAAGTTGATGTTTCACTTCTGACAAAGTTTTAAAATTGATATTACTTCAACGATTCGAATTTAATTTTCGAAACAAACACACATTTTTGGTTTTGGCCACAAACTCAATTCAAATAAATGGCAGAAAATCATCATGCCAAAAAAGGTCAGTCGTCACATTGATGAATTTTATGGTCGTTCCTCGTCAAAATGGTAAATTGGCCAATTCATTTTGATCTTCGAATGTGCAATGATGTGATGCATTTTGGTGAAATGTGACTTTTTTTTATACATGTATGTGTTTGTATTGAAAATAAATATCGACGATATGCAGGCCTTGTGAATCGGCCCACTTTTAGTTATGTCAGATTGACGCCTGACAATAAATTCAAATGTTGTTTGTACTTACAAACTTCGATTCGCTATTTTTGGTCTTGGTATCTCTTTTCTCTATCATTCTTTGGCTCGATTTCCATCGAGAAAAGTAGCAAAGAAACAAAGAGAAAACATACGTTATGTGATACCGTTGCAATTTATTTTTGTGTGTATTTGTAAATTTTATCTAATAAAAGAAATGCACATTTTTCCAACGTTCCTCTCTTCTCTTGACAAAAAAAAAACATTTCTGGCATAGTTCTGTGCGCCGTTCATTCTACGCTCTTTCACTCTTTGCACACAAAATACAGCGAGAATGGTAAACGATCCCGAAGAAATCATCGTTCAATTGTTGTTGTTATTGTTGTTGTTCCATATTCACGTTTTATTATTTTATCTATATATATTTTTTGGTTCTTGTTCTTCGTACTTATCTTTTGTTCTATTCCGTATTCCCGTGAACCGTGTACAGTGTACAGTATAAACTCTTGATTTTGTTAAATCTTGTAAATAAAAGAATACTTGAGAAGTACATTCATTTTAGCTTTTGTAGATGTGTGTAGTTGTCAACGAGTCCGCATTTCTTTGCGGTTGTATTTCGATGAATCGTTTATTATAACGAACAATCATTTGAAACGATGTGAATGAACATTAAGAATCCGTTTTGTATGCTCGGATTACGAATAACAAATTTGGTTGATGTTAAAAATATATGTGGTTTTGTTGTTTTTCGTTCGTTTCATTTTTTTCGATTTGTCAGCGAGAAAACTGAACCATTTTCGTAAGTTAAAATGATTGAATTCATGCAGCGATATTGAAATTCTTCAATTTCATACAAGACTTGTGAACGATTTTCTTTATCCTTTTCGATGCATTCGATTCATGAGCAAAATTTCCCATTTCAATAACAGCCACATGCAGTTTCGGTTGATCGATCGATGAAACATCTCTTCCGTTTTCTGAATTAACAGGATGTTCATGAGACCGTTGCCTTCGCCTCCACCACCAAATATTAATGGGAAAAAAGAAGCGAAACAGGCGAGATTTTTTAACGAAATTAACAAAGTGACTTTGTGCAAAAGCGCTGCAGTGTCACTGAACCTGACTCAAGCGGTAATTGGAATTTTATTCGCAATTTTAAATCGCTCAAACGGATTATCTACAATAAATGGTGAAATTCAGAGAAACCAAGCCGAAAGCAGCAGGAGACTCATTTATTATCTTTTTTTTCGTGCGCTACCTCCATCTCTGTCTCTTCCTTTGTAATTTGTGCCGCTCGGCACACTCTAGTCCCATTACAGATGCTTTGCAACTATTCACATTGCTCAAACTTAAGAATTTTCGATGACTGATACAGCTTTGAATTTATCACACACAGCAAATAAGCATTTTAACTATGCACAATTTTCATTCCATTGCAAATTGAATGACACGCACACAAAATGGAAAAATGCTGACGGAAATTATTGTCAACGACTTTTGACGACATAAAAAGGTGTTTACGACATATAATTTCACAAAAATGTCAGCGAATTCAAAAACCATTTACTATTTATCAAGTTAGCGCGCATTTTTTTATGCATCTGTTAAATGCTGTCGCTGTTTGACCGTTTATTCCGAACCGAGAATGAAAATTTTTCTTATTTCGAAATGAATGTCATTTTATGTTCTTCATCATTTTTGTTTTAGCTACTTTCCTAGTGAATAGATCGTTTTTCAATATAAAGATTCATTCGATTTAAAATGATTGCATGAAAATACCACCCTGTAAAACCGAATCGAATCGCTAGAATCCATATTTAAGAGAGTTTTCAATGGGGCCAATACAAAAGATCGTCGTGCCGAGAGACGCACACACAAAGTATTATTATCATTATTATTTTGTTTTGTTATTTGTTCGCTGTTGATTGACAACTACACATAGTGTCTCGCTATTGTTATGCAAGTCGAATCAAAATTGCTCTCGATTAAGTAACACATCCGTTAATGAAAGAAAAGTGTTTTTGTACATCTCTCTAGATCTCTAATTTTGTGTGAGAAATGCACTTAATCGAATGTGATTAGAGTCTATACAAATCCCATACCGAATGCCTTTTGAAAATTAGAGCACATTTGTTCAGTGATCGCTTCTTCGACTACTACCTTTTTCCAATGTTATTTGCCTTTTTTTATAATTCTGTTTTGTTTACTCTCAATTCTTTCTTGATCACACTAAATGCACACCAACATTTCATTTTTATTTTTTTCGTATTTTGCTAGATATATTTTTGTTTGGAAAATATGCCCACCAAATCTGTTATTTTGACTGTTGTTGTTGTTGTTTTGAATGGAACATATATTGCATAAATCAAATCTGAAGCGCTCTATCCAATTCATGCATATAGATGGTAGAGCTTCTGTTTTTTTCTTTAAATTCTCTTCATTTCAGAAAAATATCTTCTTTTTTTGTTGCATATTCATTGAACCTAGTGATGAATCACATATCAAAACAATTAAAAAATGATTTCAATCATTTGCATTTTAGTCATTTTTTTATAGTTAAATCATCACATTTTTCACCCATTTATCATCACATTTGCGCTTCACCTTTGACAATTAATTGTAAAAAGAAATTTCCATTTTTAGAACATTTTGACATAAACTTAGACACGTCTAAAATCTGCAGATTTTGATTTTTAAATCAATTAAAATCGTATCAAATATCAGCCGCATTTCGTAAACTCCACACGTGGATGAATCTGTTTTGCACCATGAGTCTTACGAAGAACAAGTATACGAAGCGAGTGCATTTTTATAGTGTGAAATCCCCATTCAATGGTCATTTTGAGAAGATGAAACAGTTGACAACCGAATCTATAGACGTCGAAACACAAAATATAAATAATGTTGATGCTAAATGTTCACAAATGGGATACAATCATCCATGTCCATGCACTTTTGTTTTGTGTCGTCATTCATCACATTTAATTTATATGTATCAAAAACACCGTTCTTTTCACGTAATTCAAAACAAGGGAACATTTATTCATTGAATCTGTGGTTTTTATTTAGAAGAATTTTCCTTCATTGGAAAGGTGGCACTTGAACAACGTAATGTGCGAATATTTACCAGTGAAATAGACAAAAAATGTACAAAATAAATGAAAAACACTTTGAACATGAAACACATTCAAGCACATTGAACAAGAAGTAAATAAACTTTCAGTTGCTCGTCCCGCTATCGCACTATTTATTTATTCATTTGGTGAGATCGGATGATTAATTTTTTTTATGTTAACTATTTGTTTTTTGTGCGTTTATTTTGGTTTTCTGTATAACATAACGAATTGAACACATTTTTTCCCGTTTATTATCGTTTCGGTTTGAAGGTGCTTTATTTAAATCACATAATCATTTAAAATGTTTTTTTTTTGTTTGTTTGTATCTTTTGGCTTTTAATTTCTTTTTATATGTGTTTATCTTATTTATTTATTTTCATCCCCTTCTCGTTCACATTTATATCATCATCAATTAGTACCATTCCGAGGTCCACCTAGATACAATCCGCGTCGTCGATCGGGTATTGGATGGGCAGCGACATTACGATCGGGTGGTCCACCGTCGCCATGCCCATCCGAGCATCCATTCAGCTCAGCAAGCTCCAGCCTATCTGAAGGTTCAACAAGCAATCGTAGCCATGAGGATGACATCAGTATTGTAACAGGTAAACACGAACGTTTGCCATCGGCGATGACAACGGAACAACTAACACATATAACAAATTTAAATACACACTCAAAAAAAAGATGAAACAAAAAACATGCATACACTCTCACACAGTTTTTTAATCCCCATCGAAAATCGTTTAATCCTCGTTTGGATGAAAAGGCATCATTTTTAGTCTTAACAAGTCAACCGTTTAAGCGATTTGACCGTATTAACATATTCGGCCATATTGATTACCTGATTTCACTCATAGCATAAACACGCGATAAATAGTACATGAATTAATTCCTTCTTCGTTCATCTCCTGTCGTAATGTTTTTTTTATTTCACGTTTTCTTTTGATACAAAACAAATGCACTGTAACTAACATGCAGACATACAGATATGTATCCCGTTCAGTTTTAAGCAGATTTATTTAATGTTGAAAATAAAAACGAAAAATGAAAACAACTAATGTTTCCGAAATGCCGCAACAAATTATTAAAAAATCGAACAAAAGGAAGCAAAACTCAGGTCGTATCATCTCTCAAACGCATATACTATACAATTCATTAGATTTCATCCATTTGTTATTTATCATTCTGCTCTTCTTCTTCTTTAGTTTGCATTTCTTCTTCAAATTATATACGGTTTATAGAGAAATCGATATTAGAGAATGAACTCATCAACTGGAATGCATTTTGAGATTCGATTAAACATTCCGAATTTTGATTAAAAAAACGCATTTGCATGTCCGTTAATTTGTTATAGTGTAGTGTTCTTCTTTTTTTTTTTTTTAAAAATTCTTTGTTGCCAATGAGAAAGAATCATAGCCGAATATGAAATGTTATTGTTGCATTTGTTATTAATATTTCATATATATTGATCTCGTTTAGCTCTTCTTCTCAAAACGTTCCTGTTTATTATTATTTTTCTTCTTCGATTTACATTTGGAATGTTATTGAAGAAATATATATATATGTTAGAATGTTTTTGTGTTATGTAAATATTTCTTTTATTTTCGACCGACAGAGAATAAAAAACAAACGGTTGAAAACAAAACTAAACGTGAGACTGATTTATGTTTAGCCGTGAAACTGATTTATGAGCGTTTCAAGTACTCTGACTAGATTTTTAACGTTGATTTTAGTTCCTTTTTTAAAAACACATTTATTTTCAACGATTCTCTCGAATACTTGCGAAAAGTCGCAACTAATTTGGTAAAATTCAAGTGTAAAGTACACCGCAGCGAGAATGAAAAGATTGGATATCATTAAAATAAAAGTTCAAGTTACAACCTCGAACATCTTTGATTTTTTTAAATTTTTGTTGTGTATAAAGTAAATAAGTGCGCATTTTTGCTATTTCAATAAAATTAAAATGAAATAGTCTCCTATTTATGTAATTAGTTCATTAATGATGCTACTTTGAATTTAAAAATCAATTAACTGACAGATTTTTAGTGACTGTGTGTAGAATACACAAAAAAGAAGTAAAATGTAGCCTTTTTTATCGTGAGATTGTCAATGAAGTGCGTTCATTCGTTTCACATTCGAATGAATGTTAATTTCATCGGATAATTGTTTGTTGCGTCAATAAAATAGGGTTGGACCAGTTCGACTTAGAAGGAAAAAATATTCTTTTGGGCCAACCCATGAACAGAGTTTAAATCTCATTTTATACATGCAACACCATCTAGTAGCGACCATAGTATAATAGCACAGTCACTGCGATATGAATGCTCATTACATCTGCGATAGCTGGGCATATTTCGCTGAGCAATTTGATGATTGAAACATATAAGATTCATCAAACAATTTTTCCAATTTGTGTCCTTAAATCAGGAAAACATTGCAAAAGAGGCTGTTACTACAGATTTATTTGGCTGTAAACTGTCAAACGTAGTACATTGTGGTACTTGGAATTATGGGCCAGCCCTGTTTTATCGACATAAAGTCGAACTATTTGAGATACATTTTATAGCAGTTAGAGCTACTTTTTCTGCTGATATGTAAGTTTGAATATACTTACCACTTTTAATTAATGTGAATAAATCACATACAATAAAATGCTACTAAAGACATTTCAAAAACCAATTCTGCGAAAACGCACAGTAGAAAAACTCAAGATATAATTGTAAAATAACTTTATTTCGTTAGAATTCCTCAAAAAAGAATGTCTTCGATAAATAGAACAATATTCGGTTAAAATTTATTAAATATTAAAAAAAATATATTTATCTATTCATAAAATGGTCAACATACAAGGTGTTTATGTAAAAAAATCTAGACTTATAACTCCATTTATGATTGTATTTATTTTATTTTCACTTACGAAAAGATTCTAATTTATCCATGAAAAGTACACCATCTGTATCGAATTCTTTTATAAACCAATCAATTTGGTTGCCAATTTCATGAAACGTTGGTCGATCGCATGGATGACGATGCCAACAATCTATCATTAATTGATAGAATTCACAACTGCAATTATGTGGCCTAGACATACGATAACCTTTACTCAAATGATCAACCAAAATAGCGGCTGGAATTGCTGGATACGGTGTACATCCTAGGGTAATAATTTCATACAAAAGAATTCCATATGACCAAACGTCACTTTGGCTGGTGTACATTTGATCGGTGATCGATTCCAATGCAAGCCATTTCATTGGCAATCGACCGGCACCCGATTTCATGTAAATATTATCAACATAAATGTCTCGACTCAAACCAAAATCGGAAATTTTAACCGTTTTATCACTACAAACGAGAACATTACGTGCGGCCAAATCACGATGAACAATTTTTTTGTTCACCAAATATTCCATGGCAGTTGAAATTTGTTTGGCAAATATCAATAGATCTCTAGTTGTAAGACTAGAAAATTCTTCATTCAATATACTTTGATCGGCTGATTTAATCGTTTCATTAAGTTCGTCGCACATTCTTGAATCGACACATGGATTGTCATCGCACGATGGTATTAAATCGTATGTTGGATTTTGTACAAAATCGATGGGTGAACTTGAATGAAATGCATCTGGTAAATTGAATGCTCCGCGAAATTTTCGAAGATAATCTAATAAATTTCCTTCACAACAATATTCGGTGAGTAACATCATTTGATTGTAGTCAACCGTTGAATGGCCAACAATTCCAACGATATTGTCATGATGGCCAACCGATTTCATAAGATTGATTTCACTTAAAAAACCTTTGATATCATCAATGCCAGCATTTTCTTTTAACATTTTTACCGCAATCGTTTTATTTGTTGATTTCAAAAGACCTTTTCGGACGATGCCAAACGCTCCTTCGCCAATCACTTCGTACAAATCGACTGCGTTTGGATCAATTTCGATTTCATCATTTTTATACGAACCGATAATCTGGCGTAAATGTGCATCCACATCCATATGTAAATGTTCATGTTTGTATTTTAGAAGATCGCGTCGATTTTGAAAATAAATATATGCACTCAATACAACGATTAGCATAAAAAATGATAGTAAAGCATAAAATAATTTTTTGAGTATATGTTTACCGGGATCAAAATTGTCCGCTTTTAAAGCGAATTCAATGATATCGTTTGTTGTTTTACCGCCTTTTGAAAATGCAACGATTAGCACATCATACTTGACATCGATCATATGCACCTCAGCAAAGTAGGCCGTATTCGATGTGCCGGACACATTTTGCGAAATGCTGTTTCCTTTATTCGAAAATGAATTCAATGTGACATGATAAAATTCGGGCGGATTTTCGGGCATGTCCCATGTGATTGTTATTTGATAGGAATCGGCATCAATAATGTCATAGCTGGTCGCAATATTGGTCACTGGTGGTGGTCGACATTTTTCCAAATTGAAACCATGGAATTGCCAACAAGTTGGCGTTGTAAATTCATACGTACAACGTTCACCTTTGATCGATGGATATTGAGCATTTGAACCATGAATTTCCAATGAGTATTCCGTTTCGAATTTAAGACCGTCCCGTGTCAAATCGTACAATTGAAATGGCTTTACCTTTTGAACATTATATGGTGTCATATCGTTGTCATCACGAGTTTCATACAAATGTATGTAGTAATTACAAATACGATCTTCGGACGGTTCCCATTTGATGGTTGTCATCAATTCACCCGAATCATTATGAATATCATAATTTAATTTGATCGAATCGTTTGATAGTGTATCCGGAACGTAGTCATCGTTATTTAATGTTTTAAATGATTCAGTTTGCGATACGTTTTGATATTGAGAGTGTCCATCGAAAATGCTTGCTATTACTCTGTACTCGGTGTTTCTGTCTAAATTGTCGATTTTAACAATTGACGACGTTGAGATGTAAGCAATTGGAACTTCACTATTTTTGTAAACGTTTATTAAATATATCAACTTCGTGTCATCATTAGTGCTGGTCAAATCACTCTTGTCTTCAATGGCAACCATTAGCAAATTAACTTCTCGACATATCAACCGAATCGATGCATTGCTTTGGATGTATTTCAATGGAACTCTTTCATTGGCGATGTTACACTTTTCATTGCAATCCAATAGAATCACGGTAGAATTTGTGTGCATGCATTCTGCCATGCAACCGGCTCTATTTATTAATCCATCGAATGGGCCGTTTAATAATATGCTGTCACTTTTGATATTACCAATTAGTAACACAAACAAAATTAATCGGATATATTTTAATACGATTGACTTCATTTTGGTGCATTTGAAACAATTCTAATCGATTTTTATCAGACAAATATACGTTCACTTGGACTTTTTTCTTTTGCTTAAATCTATGATGTTATCCAGTTGGCAAATAATTCACGACTAAACATTCATTTTTTTTCTGAACATTATTCATGTGCTAATGTTTCATTAAAGAGTAAGGAGTGAGATGCGTCTTAAGTGCGTCAAACGCATTTGCGGCAATGGGACGCATGTCCCAGGTAAATGATTTTGAGACACATAACTCATCTGTATGAAGTTCAAATACCGTAATTAACATAGAGGGACTGTCCCGATTCAACAATTATTCAAACATGTTTTACTTTGAAAAGAATAACACACACAAAAAAAATATGTGTTTCTTTTTCTATTGCTGCAAAAGAAGAAAAAACAACATAATTATCATTATTAATTTTGCGAGAAAAAAAATAAAGCAAAAATATCAACACTACGAAACAATCGAATATTTTCATGACCTTTTTTCAACCGAATTTTTTTTTATTGTTCTCTTGATACCTGTATCCCGTCAATTTTATTATAAAAGGAAGATTTGCATGGAATGGACCTTGAATCCAAAAAGATCAACTTGCATTGTTGAACATTCTCAAAAGAATTCGGTGTTTTTTTTTTGTTATTGAACATTTTTTCGTGAACATATCCACAAAAGCCACTGTTTGATGTATCTCTGTGTTCACTACTAAGATGCAAAAAGATACTGAGCTCATAAACATGAACTGAATTGTATGCATATTTATTCAAAACAGTTTATGATGAGTCGTATGCTGTGTGGCAGGTACTCTTCGCAAAAAAAAAATGTTTGAACAAGAAAAAACTATTTGCAATGGTAAAAAATATAAGTAACGAAAGGGTTGAATGTATTTTTCATGTGAATTTCATATTTTATTAGAATACTTTGTACACAATGACTATCGTCGTCCGTTTTTATGTGACTTGATTTGCTGGATTCACAGCATTGTTTAATGGTTTCCATTTCTTGATTGAAAGTTGTCGAAATAAGTAGGTTTATGATTTGAAACACAACTACAACATGTTGTCAAACTTGAGTGGGTCAAATCGATTGGAAAAGTCCATAAATCAACTTTAACAAAGAAATAACACACAGAATGAAACAACGACATAAACGGTCTCTGTTCCTCCAGATTCTTTTTTTTTTTCAATAATATTTAGTTCAAAATTGTATTTATATTAAACAAATGTATGAGAAATATTTTAATTTACGAAAAGTAACGTCCATTTTATAAGGAAATCAAAAATCGTATGTACTACACTTGAATTTTACATAAATTTTGTATGTATTCATGAGAATGTAAATTTAAAAAAAAGCAGTCAGAGTACTTGAGAATCGGCACTAATGGAATAGATGTGTTTGTGTTATATGACGAACGGGTGCGACCAAATGTTTACCTCGTACCGTTTGGCTGAAATGTATAATTTATCTATGTGACGCAAATGGCAGTGAAGGATATTCTTTCGTTGTTTGTTTTCGATTTGGAAAAATACTAACTTGTGAAAAATGATTGTGTCAGTTTTTATTTGGATCGTTGAATTTACTTTTCAAAAAAGACTGCAGTTTTTTTTGTACTTTTGAAATAGACCGTGTTCTCATTACACGTTTACTATTTTCGCTTAAGTTCAAACCGTCATTGCAAACTATTCAGGTCTTTGGTATTTTAAACACTGAAACGATATATATACATAATTTGAATCAATGAAATATCATTTTGAAAAATTTGGATTATGCACGGAAAGAACATAACCGATAACCAGAACATCGAAAAAAGAGAAACATTTCCCTAATTTCATTGAAGAAATCTTGAATGATTTATCCCATTTAAAAATAGTATTTCTCGGTCTCTCTGTCTAGTCACAGCCCTGCCCATGTCGCTCTTTCGTTCCAAATACCGATTCACTCATTTAAAGAAATAACAATTAAAGGTCGTTTTCATTTGTATTATGCATTTTTCATTATCTCGCTCGAACATCGGGCAGTGAAATGGTTATTTGTTTTAATTTTCATTACTTGTTTCCGCCCTAATGGCAAATGGTACAAACCCAATGCTTTCATATGATTTTGCAAAGCGTACAAATTGGTATGTTAGCAAACAAAATATTCAGAATAAGCGCTACCAGTTGTTCTTTTTTTCTCTTCTCTCTCTCTCTCTCTCTCTCTCTCTCGAGTAAAGCGGCAATTTCATTATGTAACACCAAATTAATTAGATTAATTGAATTGAAGAACAAAAAAAGAAAGCAAAAAAAAGTAATAGAAGAAAATATGGCAATAAGAAGCGGTTGAAATATGAACGGCTTCTTATTTGCTGTGTGAATATATGGCATTTTGCTTTGTATCGGATATAATTTATGGCATTGCGAATGAATATTTCTTTTTACGGTTCACATTCCATTCCTTTTATGTGTGTTTTGGGATATATTCAAAACAACTGATTGAAATGATTCACGCATTTATTTGATTCTATTCCATTAATTCTCTTTCCAAAACGAAAGCAACAAACAAAAATAAAAAAAAAAAATCGTGAAAATATTTGTTTATATTACACTACAGTGTGGATTTACCGAATTTTATACTTTATTATTGAGAAGAATGTTCGGTAACGTGATTCCATTCGGTGATATAAATAACACAATCAATATTGGACTAAAAAAAAATGGAAATTGCGTTGGGAAAATGAAAGAGAAAAGAAATTCATTGCCGTTTTTTATAACTTTCATGCAATATTCACTTCCTGGGCACAGTTCATTTTCGTTGAAATCATCATTTGTATTATGTAATATTTGAACTGTACATTCTCTATGCCATTGCGTTTACACACGTTTCAGCCAAAATGGACAATGGAAAGACACACGGTCAACATGGTTAAATAGTTATGGTATTCAACGTGAAATTGATTGGATAAATATTGAATCCTTGTAATAATGTGATAAATACACAATGAAATCGATGACCAATTTAAATATTTATCCTTTTCTTTCTGTCTTATTTCTCATTCAATTGTTTCGAATCAATTAAAACATCGTACAGATAAGAGTATTGGAGACACAAGCGATATTATAAGCGATTCATCTGGTGTTGGGACCAATTCAGATAGCGCTGTTTGTTCAATAGGCCATCCGAGTACAACAGTTGTTTGCATCGAACCGTATTCCAGTTCGACAATTGGTCATTTATCGATTCAGACAGGTGAAGTGATCGAAGTGCTTGGATCAACCGATTGTGGTCTATTGGAAGGATATGTACGTGGCACAAATCGATCCGGTTTCTTTCCAACCGAAGTCGTTCAAGAGGTTAATATTCGACAGAAAAATATCACAAATGTATCGACAGAACAGAAAAACACCTTCCAAAAACAACAACAGCAACCACCACAACAACAACAAAATCACATGGAGAGTTTTTGTGTAAGGCAAACAATTTTCTTCTTTTGTTTTGACCATTCATGTAAATTATTTGTAATTGTAATGGCAGCAGCCACCACCGCAGCAGCAACAGCAACAACAACAACAACAGTCACCAAATCAACAACAGAGCATCTATCAAAGAAACACGATCATTGGATTGGATTCCGTAGAACAACCCATACCAGATGAATTTATTGGCAATGGGCAACCGTATAGCAGTGCAACTGCACCTCGTCAAAAGAAAATGTGAGCACAACTTAACCTTAATCGCATTTGCAATTTTTGTTTGACACTTCAACACATTCGATTTATAATGTCGTTTGACAGTTAATTCGAAGTAAACAGTATCGATTGAAATGTCACAACTACCTGTTTCTGTTAGATTCAGTATATCTTTCTTTGTAGCGTTTGATAACTTTTGATTTTAAATTTTGATTTCTGTGTTGTTGTGTTTTTTTTCTATGATTTTATCATGGCATTGATTTAATCAATAATTATTGCTTTGATTTGTAGTGGAATAATGGATCCAAGAACCGTTGTTCTTCATCGTGCCAAAAGAGGATTCGGTTTTGTATTACGTGGTGCTAAAGCGGCATCGCCATTGATGCAACTTAAACCGACTGACCGATGTCCCGGTCTACAATATTTGGATGATGTTGATCCGGGTGGTGTTGCTGATATGGCTGGATTGTCTCCTGGCGATTTTTTGCTTGCTGTGAGTGAATCGACGAAAAATGTCACAAAATCATTTTAAAAAATGCAATAAAATCGAATGAAATTGAACTTATTCTTTTCCAGATAAATGGTGAAGATGTGCGATGCGCATCACATGAGCATGTTGTTGATTTGATTCGATCGTCTGGTTCGCTTGTTACAATGACCGTTGTCTCACAAATTTTTCCCAACAATTTCCAACAACAGCAACAGGTACGTTCATAATAATTGATTCAATTCATTTTAATAGAACACTTAAACAAATTGACCACTTAAACTGAATGCATCGCATCAATTAAGAGCACAACTAATTTGATTTATTTTGTTAAGTAAAAAAGCAATAAAGAACAAACACTTGCTGTATTATGTTTCAATTAATGAGCAACATAGTGTGTATGAGTAAATATTAATTATGTCTCATTATGTCGTACAATAGCATCAACAACAGTATTCTTCGGCAATGAATGCAAGACAATGTGCAACACTGCCAAGAAAGATGACACTTGGCGGCAAATTACCAGCACCAATGCCACCACGACGTGATCCAAAAACTACACTTAGTGTCGGTCGAGCACGTGCCAAATCGATGGTCGCTGGCTTGGAAGGAGGTAATTATTTTGCATATTTTATTTTATTCACCGAAGATCAATGTGAATGTTTGCAAACGAATGATTTAGTGCAACATTTTCAGTTCATTTCAATTAGATAGAAACATAAATTGATGATAAAATGTTATGTTTTATGTTTTGTTTTCCTCCAAAAAAAAAAAATAGATGATGACGACTTGCCAACGGCAGTTAAATCCAGTTCGGTTGAATCTGTGCATCAACAGTCGCTGTCATCGGCTTCGACACCAACCCAAGGTCCTGGTACACCGGTACAACTACGAACGGCCAGCATTAAATCACGGCCAACATCAAGTCGCATTACGGCCGCCGAATTAGTCGAATTGTTTCAACGACAAACAGGTAAAATCTCAAAAGCGTGCACTTTGCATCATTGACCCAATTTCGTAATGCTATGATAAATTTTAATGTGGATTGCATTGATTTTTCTTTTTCAGGTGAAATTGGTGAGAATCGTTACTCAACGATGATGTGCAGTTCACGTTTCCAATCGAACAACGATACACCGCCATCATCACCGCAAAAAGGACCAATTGTTTATGCAAGCGTTGCCGAAATGAAACGCAAAAAGAATAAAATGGGAACGCTAAAAATTGGAAAACCGTGCGCAACACCATGCATTGAAACCGATTTGAAACGTTTCCATAGTACACCAGATTTGGTGACCGGTATAAGTCAATCGAATGCATCGATATTTGCACAGGCAAATGGCTTCAAAGGCCATCGATCGCAAGACGATATGTATTCATTGCATTCGTCGATGCAACGCTTGAATTTACCACCACCAAATCATCCACCTCCACCGCCGCCAATCGGTCAAGTTGTTAAAGTTGATGTGTCACGCGGTTCCGAATATGAGAGCACCGTACAATTGCAAAAGCAATTACAAGCAAAAGCCATTAATAGCAACACAGCCGATGTATTTGGCAGTGAGATACGTTCTAGTTTTAAACCCGCCACAAATGCCAAACTATATGCATGCCCACAAACACTGCGAAATGTCGCCTATCGAAATAGCACCGAAAACACCGCTGCACCAACAAACGAAACAAATTGCCAGACTGTGGTAAGTGCACTATTTATATATGTATAAAAAAATACACACACACACATATTGCAATGCCGATTGCTGTGACCTCAATTCGCGAAAGGATGGAAACAAAGTAGAGAAAAGAAAAACTGACATTAACTTACAAATGGAAAAGTTTGTTGAATACAGTTTAAAAGGCTGCAATTGAGTCACACGGTTTTCTGCATTCGGACAAAAATGTCGCCATAATTTTAATGCAGTTGCTTCCAATTGTGAAGTGTTCTAATAACTTTATGACCATTATAAAGGCTTTTTTACATTCAATTGTCACTTTCTTAAATAGAGGGTATTTTTTTTTTTTTGTAAAATTTGAAAAATAAAAAATTAAACATGAATTATGTTCACTTTGGAAATGAATAGGCGACGAATCAGGTACAACAACGACCGTCAGCAAATCAATATGCGCAACCGATTCGAGCTGGCACATTGCCGCATCCAGTGCATCAGCGAGCATCGTTACCACAGTTGATAATGCCGCAAATCCCAGATCCGGATTATAGTCTGAGCGAATCGGATGGCGAAGACGAAAACTCTGTTCTAGTGGCACTCAATACAAAAATGAACGAACGAATCGCTATACCGGCCGAGACCAGTGGCAATAGCAATGCAAGGTACTTAAAAATCCATCAAGAATGGAAATTACTTTAAACTTTACGATTTTTTTTCGTTGAACGATTTATTTATTTATTTTTTTGTGTTGAGTATTTAAACACCTTATTCACTATTTTACATTTTCTTCTACCTTATTTTGTGTTATGACATTTACAGTGGCAGTAGCTCCGGATCGGGCAGTTCAATTCCGCATTCATTTTCAGTGGATGAGATTCAAAAGATGCGTGTCAAATTGAAATCATCAAAATCATATCCAAATGAATTGTTAAATCAGCAAAATGCGAATGGCAAAAACGACTCGAAAATACTCTCAAAAGACACATTGTCGGCAAATCATGATGAATGCGATAATTCATCGTCGGGCGTATCATCTGATCAAGAGATTACCGCATCGAATGTTGTCAAAACCATAGCGAAAACGCCAAGCAATTTAAATATGATTATTAGCACAAATCCAATGATGAGCACGGAAAATAAACATGGCATTTTGAAAACGAGCGTGACAAATAAAAATCCAGTCACAAATCCATTAGCAAATAATACAAGCGTTAAAATTGTAGAATCTATTAATAAGAAATCGATAAATTTACCACCGCTGAGCAATGTCACAAAGAAAATATCGGCGGCAGCAGCAGCAGCAGCAGCGGCGGCGGCGGCGGCAACGACGACAGACATCGCGAAAAATGCCAACAACGATGACTTTGATGATTTCGATGATCTTCCAGCTAAAGGATTCCAAAGACAGATATCGTTGACGCGCAAACAGGCCGCAACAATTGCCATGAATCGAAATCTATATAGCACGAGAAGTGCAGCCGTTTCACTTGCACAGCTACCACCGCCCATTGAAGGCGACAGCGACGATCCCGATCATCAGCAAAATGAATGCCACAAAAATAACATGAAGGTAAATTATTATTATTATAAATGAATCGAAAGCAATAAAAACGCATTTTGTTTTACATGCAAAACGCAATAAAAAATCAATTGTCATAAATTTTATGGTTTGAGCGTGTTTTTTTTTGTGTGTATTTTGAACCAGCGTGTGCCAATTTGTAGAGTGTATTTTGTAAATGGGCAATAAAAAAAAATGTTGCACTGAACTGCAGTATGCTCTCATGCGAAGACACAACAAGTAAAAGCAGAATAGAATAAAACATCATAAAATTTGCAATCTGTATACGTTCACGGATTTCAATGCGCAAAAATTATTTATTAAGAAAGTCGGAGAAAGAATGAATAAAACAAAAACTTAACGGAAAACCTGCTTGAAATTTAGAGAGGGCAAAAAAAAAGAAAACCATACGACAAACGCAGTATTAAGATGAAAAAAATCGTTTTCGTTCTTTCTTTGGTTTCTCTTGAGATCCATAGTGGAAAAAGTGTCAAAATGTGCATAGAAATCGTATTCCTTATATTGCACCGCATATGGTTCTTCGTTTATATAAAAAAATGAACATAAAAATATGGCATATTGTTTTTTATTCGCTTTTTCTTTTAGCGTATTTCGTTTTTAATTTCATTTCCATCAATTTTTTCGTCTCTTTGCACACAGAATTCTCGTAATATTATCGGAAATCGTATAAACGCAACGTCGACATGCAATAAGAATAACAACGATGAATCACCGTCACAGGATATTGTATTGGCACCGCCGCCTGAATTTTCTGATTCGGTGTGCACGAATGTGAAATGTTTATCAACCAATCCGGGAACAGCAAATATGACTGGACGCAGTGTTCGTATTGTGGGCGCTGTGCCAAAATTAAGCCGATTACAAAGTCATTAGAATTTCGTTTAATGGTTAAGAATAAACATAGAAAAGCGCTAAAATAGCACGTAAATTTACATTATTTTTATAGTAATTAAAGTAAAAACAACAAAACATTTGCTTCATTCATTCATTAATTTTATTTTATTTTGTGCATGGCATAAAAACACACACACATACATCAAAACACAGACAATTTTCCTAACGATGAGATAATCGAACGAAGCGAAAATGCGCTGCTCATTAATTTAATGTTTGTGTTTTGTTTTTGATTTTAGAAAAAAAAGAAAAACGTGCGACAGTAACTAACACAAGTTCTAGTACACAAGAGATAGTTTTGCGAAAAAATAAAAAATAAAATAACATACAACAAAAAATTATATGAGATATTTGTGGAAAAAATTGAAAATAAAATTTTGCTGTTAGTAATCTATATATTGCAACATATTCGAAATATAATGATTGTACATTTTTCAAATGAAAAAATAAATAAATAAATAAACAAAATACACACAATTGAAATTATAAAGGCAAACAAAAATATGTTCGTTTAGATCATCAAATCCGATTAAAATAATTAAAGAATAAAATCAATTCGATGATGAAGAAAAACAAAATGTTTAAATGTATAACATAATTAAATATGCATATATTGTATACTTTTCATTCAATGCAAAAACAAATCAAACGAATATTGTTCATTTAAACATTTGAATAAAATAAAATAAAACAAAATAAAAAAGTTGCACACAAAGACATACACCCATTTACAGCATTCATAAATTCATCATTCATCAAAGCATTCGATCACATTTGACACACCACCAACAACAACAACAACAAAAAAACAAAAATTTCCATTAAAATATCCAGCGTTTAGTAGAATCAAAATTAATAAATGGAAATCTATGAGACGATGTCTAATTAATAATCAACTAAAACTCAACACGAATTGTTCAAACGATTTTTTATACGTGTCCATATTACATCGATTTTTAAAAAAAAATTAACGAAAACATAAAGAAAAACGGTCGCAATTTGTTTGTTCCAAGACGCACTTCAATTGAACGGAAAAATAAAAATCCCAGAATAGAAAAATTGCAGTCAAAAATTGGTTATAAAAAAGGGACAAAAAACAAGACATATACATGAATATCCAGATTGCAAAATATATTGTAGATCATAGCACGAATATAAACAGTTTTTTTCTCGAAATAATTTCACTAAAAGACATTTGAATAGCATCCGAAACTTAGATAAACCAATCAACGTCATTGTATTTGCTAGTGTTAATATTCGATTGATCGACGTTATTATCTACTCAATATAGATTAAATTTGATATAAATTGTGTTTCTAGTAAATTATATAATTCAAATATTGCTCAAAAATGTGCATGTATGCGAAATACAGGTGTTTTGAAGACGAAACGAATAAATCGAAATCGATACAAATCGGGATCAATAGTTTGTAATCGGTCATTTTCAACGTTGACCGTTTTTACGAACACAACAAAACTGCCAATAAAACAACAACATCTCTTCCAATGTGTTCCCGATCCATTTTCAAAATAATTACAAACACACATATTTATAATATATGAGGAAAAAAACAAACAACCTGCTTAATCCATAGGAATGAAATAGGCGAAAATATTACATTGGAATTTAAAAAAAAAAAACAAGAAACAAAATAATACAAATAAAGTATCGACACGATATCCTAATACACCATTTTAGACTCTAAATATGCCTTAACATTAGTCACTTTACATTGTTCCACTCTCACACGTCACCATCCACTGGACTTTTCATTTTGATACCGATCATTTGCTTTTTTGATACAACATTTTTCTTCTTTTATTACATATTTTCGTAAACACACACACACACACACAAAGATTAAATTTCAAATCAGCAAAAAAAATTGAAAAAAAAAAAATCGAAAACAACCATGGTGGTTTCATTTTTTAAATTGAGCGGAATTAAATAACGCAACGAATGATTTGCACCAATTTAACAATACATAAAATACATTTTGAATGTGATTCATTTTTATATTGCATTCAATTTGAATTAGTTCGTAATTTTCCAATAACGACACAACCACATTTTTTTAATAAATATCAGTATAAATGCATTTGTCGATGCGCAAGTAAGACGTTCGAAATTCCAATTTTTACAACATTTTTTTAGCACAATTTTTGGAATTCACAAACATTCACCTTTTTGATAATAACATTGACTGATTGAATTTATGGGCCGTGTGAGAGAGCGAAAAGAAAAATTAAATTTTCCAACCAAAAATACTTTCTTTATTTATAAAAAAGATGTTTATTCATTTCTTTTGAAATTTACATTTTCAATTGCCTGTTAAATGCAGTTCCTCACCATTTTATTCTAATAGATACAAATATCAACGTTGTAAAGATAAAATTTCAATTCAAAAACGTTTTGTACTCAATCAAATGTAATTTGATTTTTACACCTCTTCCAGCACAGAAATTTTGATGTTAATAATCATCGGTTGCACTTCAATGGTTCTTTGCAACGGACAAATTTGATTCATCGTGATTAATGCCAGCTAAACTGTTGCATATGCAAGATAGCTCGGTTATGCAATATCTTAATGTTTCCGAGTTCTTCATCGTTATTCTATCGGATTGTCTGTAATCTTTTATTTCCACAACCATCTGCCGGTTGACTATTTCACCTCATCACGAATATATATTTAAAATACCAAATTAATGAGTATGAACGATTGTGTTAACATTTGAAAGCATTGGCACATTCAGTAGCAGATTGTCCTTAACATTGGACGAAGGTGATCTAATACCTTCGAATTGTGCACACACTTCAACCTTCGATGTCACACAATCGACAAAAAATCTCGACTCGAATCATTGTTCTGAATATGATATTGTGCATATCACATAAATTGATCGAAATTTTTCTCTCCTTTTCATCTACTATTGTAATTTATTTTTCTTTTGTCAATTCTTTAATGCACTCTTAATGTGGATTGAAAAAAAAAATATTGAAAAAAATGAATATTGCTGATGAAGCGACATGAATGGTACAAACTAAACTGTTCAAATGGTTTGTTCGTCCCGACTACTTTGAATTATATACTACAATTGCAGAATAGAAGAGACGTCTGTTCAGACAGACAACATCGTAGCATGGAAATATTGGCGCCTTCGAGATTATATATGGTCACTTTCAATGAGTTTGATGCACCAACCCCTTTTATTTAATTTGTATATGATCTATGTAGCTAATCTATTGTATATGGTCTACTGGAGCCAATTACCTTGGATATACACCTTAAAATCTAATGGTTCCTTATTGTTTAGTGTCGATGATACAATTATTTCCATTATGTCCACAAGAAAAATTAGTTTTGTATTGATACATTAAAAATTGAATAAAAAATTATGTTTTTTGCCGAAAATATGTTGAACCGTTTTTTCTTTCATTGCCAAATACAGTTTTAACTCATCAATGAATTTCTGGTTGGACGAAAAAAATTAAGGTAAATAAAAAGGGTGAATTCTCTCTCTAATAGTAATCTAAGTGATTAGAGGATGATTAAAGGTGTCCATTGATAAGTGTCTCTCATTAAGAAATATCATTAAAATCTCTCATTAAGAAATATCATGTTCAACTCAAAAATGGCTAGTCATAGGTAAGCTTATACATGTAAACCAGCAAACGAAACTGATACAAAACGATTCTAAATGGTTTTATTCATCGAATCGTTACTATTTCCACGTTGGACACACCAAATTGAGTCAGTTTGCCATTTCAGAAGTGGTAAGCATTGGTAATAATAGTGGAAACAGTGGAAAACTTCTGATAACACAAAAATAATTGTAATGTATGCTATTAGACAAAGTAAGTATGACAATTTCCTGGCTTGCACGTGAGGAATGCCCATCAACGACATGAGAGTAAAACATTTTGAAATGCGGATACAAAAATAATTGATCCATTTTTCAATTTAAAAAAAATCTACAATATTTCTATTGTAATCGTCTATAAACAATTACGATTCAATGACGTTGACGCCACAAAAAAAAATAACAATAATTGCTATTCATGCTAATTTTCGATGACATATTTAATTCAAAAATGACGATAATTTTAGATTTAATTAGTAAAATCATTCAAAGTGATCATTCTCCTTCTGGTGTTCATTGATAAGGTTTTTTTTTCGAAAATTTCCTCCGTTCGTGATTTCTATCAATTGAATTGTCACCGAAAAAAGTCGAAAACTAGATTAATTCGAAAAATAAGATCAAAACCAATTCGATTTTTAAAATTTAACCAAAATAATAACAAACCAAATCTTGATAATATTGCACACCTATGTAATCATCGTAATTGGCAACGATAGGCCATCATTTTTTGTATGTGCTTGTGCATGTAGTAGAATTAAAGTTGACTTTTTTTGCGTACTTGTAAATCGCAAAAAGTAACGGTCAATTCACATCATAAATTTCGCGACTTCGTTTCTATTTGATTGATAACAATTTCCGAGGTTTTTGTTACATGCATATCGTTGTTGACAAGTTACTTAGATATTATTTTTTTTCGCGCCTTATAATGCTGCTGTTTATCAGCTGCCAATTTATCATAGAACATTGAACATGAAATCACCGTGTGAACTTCAGTATTATTTTGATATTCCATTGAAACACACATTGTTTCCTATTAGAAATAGAACTAGCCAATGAACTTTGAAAATTATTGGTTTAAATCGTTTTAACATTCCGTGTCCCTTGAACGTGATTCACTGCATGTTTTTTTGAATGATATTGAAAATTGTTTTAAACATTATTGAAATTATATATATTTTTCTGTAAAAAAAGAGTCTTTTTTAAGGCATTTGTTTTTTTAACGTCGAAAATCACAAGTCACAAATATGTGTTAGTATTCCGTGGTATTTGCGAGGTAGACAAAACTTGATTTGCTTTTAAAATAAATCAGTGTAAATCGAAAATTTGACAACGACATAAAAAGGTGTTTGATGTGAATATATTTATTTTAAAGAACATTTCATCTGGATTTCAGTTGCTAACAATCATAAATTTATCCGTACAAAATATGAATTAAATGCATTTAAATCATTTAAAAAAATCGTTTGTGACTTGACTTTAGCTGTTTTGTATCAAAAGTGAGTGATGTTTGACTTATGCGGGGAATTAATTTTCGTTCTTTAAAGAACAATTGTTTGATATATTATTATTAATCACGCAACCATTAAAATGTGTTGCACTCGAAGCGGATTCCGAGAAGATTCACCGTTCGATGCATTCAAGTGATCATTGAATTCCGTGCTGCAAATAATTTTTGCATTTTTAATCACTTTATATGAGGAAAACAAATGAAATTTAGTTGAATTTTTGATTTTTAATGATCGATCTGTGACGTCACAGCTTTTTTTGATCACGAAATTATTCTGATGAAATTGTGGCTGCATCGTGTTTAAGTTTGTAAAACCGGTGATTTTCGGACACGAAAATATCAAAAAAAAAAAATTGATCGACTTTTTCCCATTGAACAGTTTTCAATTGATTTCTCAGTTGCAGATGAGAAGAGGAGACGTTCGTGGGTGATTTTAGATAATTCTCGGCTGAATATTTTTTCTGTTCGCTTTCATATTAAAAATGGTCGATTCAAAAAATGTGGACGTCGAAAATACAAAATGTAAGTAAAATACATACGGAATCTAGAGCAATCGATTTATTTATGCTCATTTTTTTAGCCACATTTCCGCCAACACGTTTGAGCATCGCCTTTATGTTATTTGCCACATCATTTGTGGGCTATGTTGTACGTGTAAATCTGTCTATCATTATTATTGGAATGGTGCGAACACAGCCGATTGAAAATCAAACGGAACTACAAAATATAAAATATGATATGCCGGATGTAAGTGATGTGCGGTTGTGGTATCAAAAATTATTTCCTAAGTCAATGAATATTCTTTTAGTATGGCCCCAGATACAATTGGACAATTTCGCAGCAATATCTTCTGTTGAGCGCTTTTTTCTATGGATTAATGGGAACACAGTTGATTGGCGGATTTTTGAATCAATTGCTGGGTCCACGGTTTGTGATTGGAGCTTGTCTTGGATTGAGTGCCATTGCAACTGCCTTTATCGTAAATACATATATTTATACATTTAACAATTAAACATTAATAGCAATTAATTCATTTTTGTAGCCATTAGCAGCTGAATTATTCTCATTTTGGGCCGTTTTTGGTGTTCGCCTCTTTCTCGGTGCATTGGCGGTATGTTGTTTATGAATTGAGACGAGAACATTTTTTTGCGTCGAAATAAAATGAAATGATTTAAATATTTTCTATTTGAAGGGCATTTTGAGTCCTGGCATGAGTTTTTGTATAGCTAAATGGAGTCCACCACAGGTAAATCAAATTTATCAATGATCAAATGGTATTTAATTAATTTCAATTTTATACGCAACAGGAGAAAGGAAAGTTTGTATTTACTATGATTGGCGGTAAGTTTTTCTTTTAAAGTATTCGCAATCTTAATTAATTTTTGAATATTTCATTTCATTCACATTTTTTGTTGTTAAATAGGTACTTTGGGTACAGTAGTGACATGGCCGTTTGTCGCATTTTTGATGACACACTTTGGGTGGGTGTACGCTTTTTACGTGCCAGCAACAATTGTTTTATTTACGACAATTCTTTGGTTCTACGTCGTATACAATTCACCGTACGAACATCCACGAATCAGTGAACAAGAATTGAAATACATTGAAGCATCACAAGGAAACACTGTTTCGCGTGTACAAGTAAAATATCCATTCAACATTTTCAAAAAGTTGAAGAAAAAAAATCGATAAATTTGTTATTTCTTTTCAATTTCCAGAGAGGATTGCCACCAATTCGTTGTATTCTAAAATCGGTACCATTTTGGGCGCTTTTCTTTTTACAATTCAGTCACATGTGGTCATTTTTCTTTCTAATAATCGCTGCACCAAAGTACCTAAATGAGGTAAACATTTGTAATCAATTTCAATTTGGAATTTAGTTGCAACTCGCGGATTCTTAGTTGATTTTTGTTGTTGTTGCAGGTATTAAAATTCGATTTAACACAATCTGGACTCTTGGCCAGTTTACCGTATTTGAGTCGTTTCATTTGCGGTTTTGTCTTTGGAGCCATATCTGACTACATGATTAAACACGAACTTCTAACAGTGACGCAAGTTCGGAAATTCTTTAGTGTATTTTCGCATATATTGCCCGGTTTATTGATGTATGGATTACGTTTTGTCAGCGATAGTCCAATAAATTGTGTGATTGTTATTACGGTAGCATTGGGTTTGAATGGTGCTTCAACGTGCGTAAATCTCGCCAACTCTTTAGACTTGGCACCGAACTATGCGGCAGCCGTTTCAGCGATCATAAACACATTTACAACAGCAACGGGAATTATTGCACCGATGGTTGTTACATATTTTACACGCGAAAATGTTAGTTAAAATGGCTTTTGTATTGAAAAATACTCTTTACCGAATCAATATACTCTTTTTTCATCCATTTACAGAATACCGTGAACGAATGGAATCAAATATTTCTCATTTCAGCCACATTGTATGTGTCGTCAGCCATTGTATTCATGGCCTTTGGCAGTGGGAAAGTGCAAGATTGGAATGATGACACATATAAAATCAAACGAGATGCCAAACGAAAATTACGTCAATCAAACGAAAGTCACTTTTAAATTATCCATAATGAATGCAATGTAATTGTATAAAATGTGTAATTTTGAAAATAAATCATAATTATTTTGCTATTGTGAATCGCGGAATCATTTCATTAAAAACTAACGCCGAAAAATACTGGACCATGCTATGTAGTTAATAAATACTTTGTTTTTCTTTTGGCTCGGTTCTTTATTTGCATGCAAACATGCAATGTTCGCAATATAAACCGATAATAATTTCAGGCGAATTATTCAAAACTAAAGCACAACAATCGCTCGCAATTATACATTACGAAATGATCCGTTAAATAATGCATTATTTATATGATTCGGAAAAAGAAGAATACATTTAAATAATCAAATTCAAATGATATTTGTTAGACAAGCGGCTAGCCAATTGCGATAAGAAATAATGAATGAACAACAAACGAAATGGAAAGACATCAACAAATAATTTAAAATCGTCTACACTCTCTCTCTCGATGCATGATAATCAATGTTATCAGTTCCAATGACTCTACATGTCTACATAAATCGATCTCCTGCCGTGATTCTATTTTTTATATGTATTACAAAAAAATGTTTACAAATATTTTTTTTTTTTTTTTGGTAAAAGTGATTTTTTTGTCTCAGATCCAAACCTTTGCAAATTTCGAGAAAAATTGTTTCTCACGAAAAAGTAATTTCGAAACCTATCAAATATTTACCGTTTCTTTGGTGTAATAAAAAACGCTTAATATTGCAAGAGAAAGAAAATTTATTTTTTTAACACTTTTTGTTTTAAATGCTTCAAGATTTTTTAAATAAACTTTTTAGATTTGAATATTTTATCTCTTCGTGTATTATAGAAATGTATGTTTATTCTTATTTATCTTCTCAAGTGACTTTAATGTATTTATTTATTTATTTCGACCATATTTATAATATAGTGAACATAATTTTTTAAAAAAATATCTCATTTTGTGAAAAAATTCGAACATTCATTTTGAGAATATTGAATTGCAGGTAACAATAATCAATCTGACTATATTACTCAGTCAACTGAGTACTGACTGAATGGAGAAAACAAATTTTAGTTGCAGCTTGAAAAATGCTTTTAGGCGTCGGCGAACAGAGAAAAGGTTGCGATTATGATGAAGAGAGTCGGCAGCAATTTTATTGCAATTGTGATTCATTTGAGCTTAGGTAACCAAATATAAACGACGGGATAAGACTTTGCCAACCAGTTTTCCATATTCGGTAAAATTATCATTGTCGTCCTCTTCACTGTCGGTGCCCTCTGTTCCTTTATACTATAACGAAAATTAATTATTTTTATAAAGAATTCGACTTGTGCGTTTTAAAATCAAACGAGAAAAATGACCAACCGCTCTATAGTCTCGGTATGTCAAACAATATTTATAATCGACAAGCAATCGTAAATTGCTCAAATCATCGGCCGGATTGAATTCATTGAGATCTTTAGCCACCGGATCTAAATTGAAGCGTGAGTATTTCGTTTCATCTAACAATTTGAGTAAATCTGAAAAGAGAAAACATTGACATAAAAATTTGTTTTTTTTTTTTTTTGAAAAGAAAAATGGTTTGCAAAAAAGGAAGAAAAATTACCAGCATCCAATAAATGCCATGTATAAATTTCCGGGCACAATAAGTACGATGGTTGTAATTTGCCTTTGTATCGCATCTTTGGACAACTGTGTATATAAAATCCCATATAATATGCGCTGAGCTCAGGGCGTGTATCGCACAATTCTCTCACAAATTGAACTTCACGCAATGTTCCATACGTTCCAAGCGTAAGAAAACTGAAATCTTAATTGAAACATTCAATTGTTAATAAATGATTTTCTTTTAATTTCTTACACATTTCGTATGTTACCTGGATCATAGAAGAAATACACTGAGCTCACACATTTTGGCAGAATATCTATGACGCCAACGGCAATCAATTGATCATCCAACCAATACTGTTGATGGAATGAACCGTATCCACACTGTGGCCCATTCTCCGGTGTTTCATGCTATTTTATAGCCAGAAAAAAATGGATATTTCAGAAATCATTTAAAAAAAAACAGTGGACGATTTTAACCCTTTCAATCCTTTATCTCAGCAAAGCCGTTACATGAACACACACAAACAAATTTGATTTGAATAAAAAAAAAATTGTTGCATAAGCTGAATACAAAAAAAAAAAAGAAAATTAAAATGTTGCTCACCTTAATGGGTGAAATGCATAGAAAATCAAGGAATTCGCTTAAATCAGTTGGTGGATCGCGATGAACTAATGTCTGATATTTCATATACAAATCGAATTCAGTATTTTGACTGCGTTTAAATTCGTCACTCTCAACATTAACCACAAGAAGCTAACAAATGGAAATGATCGCAACCACAAAATTTCGAAAATAATAATGTCAACGAAGTGGATGGCAAACCATGGATTTGAGATCGACGAGACAAAAGAATGAAAGGAGAAAAAAGAAAGAAGAAGAATTAAGTTTCCGACAGTTGATATTAACCTGTAGTGGTGTTCGAACTAAAAAATTATCGAAACTTTTTTTTGTAATTTTTTCCGGTGGATCGTTGTGGATACCGATTTGATAGCGTCGATATAAATTTAACGCAACTTCAGTTGAACCGGTATGTGATGGAACTAGTTTTACCTGAAATTTATTGAGTAAAATTACATAAATTACACAAAATTCAATAGAAAAAAACAAATGATAATTTTTACCTTTAATTTGTGCACACCATCAGTTGGCATTTCATCGATCATTGATTTTAAATCTTTTGTAATATTATTTGGTGATTTTTTTGCGACAATTGCCGTTTCACTAGCATCATCATTGGAAGCCATACCGGACGCATTGGTCTTTGCTAGTAATTTTTCGGCTTTACGCTGTTGACGCAACAGTTTTGCTTTTGGTTGTAGTGGTTTTGTGGGATCCGCACCGACAACCAAACCACGCTTATTATTTTTATTGCAATTATCACTGGTTTCCGCTTTCTTTGTTTGTGGCTCATCGATTTTGGTGGCGGCAGATGAGGTGCTTGGTTTCTGTTTATTCACATCATTTTCTGTATTTTCAATAATTTCTAGCATATTATCTATATCAATCGATTCTTTTGGCTGATTTGAGGTAATCATTTTGCATTCAGCTAAGGCACTTGATTCTCCAACTTCGGTTGGCTGCATCATATCCATTTTAACATCATCATCATTAATATCAACGTTCGAATTGTTTTTAGCATCATTATCGGCATCATCATTTTTGCTATCATTGTTTCCACCACTTTTTTGTCCCGTTCGTAGAAAATTATTCATTTTTTTCAGAATTTTCTTGTGTGATTTTGACAAATGAAGTGCTGGTGCATCACATCTGTAAACCAAACAATTTTTTTTTTAAACTAATTTATCAAGTATTTTTTATTTTGAAAAAAGCGCAATATTTTTTTGTGTAAAAACGTACTTGATCGTATAACAAGGGCAACATGTAATCTTGTTATTTGGCTTGTAACAATACTGTCCGGAGCGTCGCCATCCTTTTAACAAAAATAATTTGAATTAAATAAAATTGGCATATTTTTACACATATTTTTTTAAATAATAATAAAAAAATTCAGCTAAAATTGTGATATACCTCGATCAATTAAATCTTGATAATCAGCCGCTGTCATGCAATGTGCCCACATACCTGAATATAAATAGACAGAAAAAAATCAAAACAATCAATTTGATTTGTTCCAATGCGTTTTCAAGTTTTTATTTATTCTGTCGTCGGCGCAAATAGAGATAATAAATTCTGTTCAATATTGATGTTACCGTGTGATTGACTTGAGTTGGAATTGTTGCAGTATCCGCATCGGGAATTGCCTTGTGGACCATAATAATTAACAATTGTCGCTTTTCGTGACATGCTGTATCAGCGCCCAAAATTCAATCAAATTCAATTTCTCTTTTTTTTTAAAAACTCGTGCTCAAGCAAACAAACACTTTTCCATTCAATCAAAATCGTTGTTTATATTTACTAATTTATATTTACTGATAATAAATGGGTTTTTCTTCTTCTTCAAAATTCAAGCGAATAATTTTTTTTTTGTTGTTGCTTTCAACGAAATGTGTTATTTTTGCGAAAAACGCATGATTGAAATCAAACGTATACTAAAAACCCTTCAATTCAAATATGAAACAAGTAAGTTGAATGTTTGCGATCCACACAACTCTTATTGAATTCGTCAATTGATTGTGAGAAATGTGTTGAAAATATGCAACCAAAATAAGTGCGATAAAAACACCAGTGAAAATTTATATTTGGCCACTTCAACTACATGTAGAGTTGTCATGAAACGTCATATTAGTACCAAATGTGAACACACTTGCTGGTCACCCACACAGATGTACACTTACACGCATACATCAATACCGAACAAAGCGCGAAATATCACTCAAATACTAATTGGACCCTGTTCATCTTCGTTTTCGTTGTAGATTTCTCTTGATTTATTGACTTTTGTTGCACGTCGCTCAATTGCGTTTTTAAGCTTTTCAATAGAACAAGTTTTAATGAAATTGAAAAAAATAAAAATTGAACGAGCTCCAAATCACCTTGACCCAGTGAGCACGAGACTCAAACATTGTTTACATTCCAAATGAATGTTTTTGTCGATTAAAAAAAAATTTCAATGAAGGCAACTCGGTTAAGGATTTTCTATCATTATTTTTTCCTCACACGTACTTACCGTGTGAAAATTTGTGTAAACAATTGCAATAGCCACATCGTGCTTGTTGACGTCCACCAAAACGATCAACAATTGTCACCCCACATCGACTCATTTTGATGCGTCCGAACCAGACAACTCAATTTATTCCAAAACGAACAAGAAACGAGATGAATTTCGCTTGTTATACAATCTAGCAGCTGTTCTATCGACAACAAACGTTAACTTAATGCACACACAATCAGTTTCATCCTTCAATTAAAAAAAACGTCATCATCGAATATGGCATGCATGCAATCAAAATACATGTGTATTTGTTGATAAGTATTTTCTTTTTGTTTGGTGTAAGTAAATAATTTGACAGATTTTTCAGTTACTTATTCATTGGCATCGACGAAAATCATAACCAAAACAAATGATGTGAATTCACGTCGAAATCGAAGAGAAAAATAAATCTGCTCCCATGATTGTGTGATTCCAATCGGAAATTTTACACTAGATGGCGTTGCTTTTGCATTAAAAACGCCCATTCATTTATATGATTTTTTTTCTCAATATTCTTTCATTTTATTGTTAGTATTTTTTTTTCGCCTTAAAATATTTACAAGAACATTCTTTTTTCAATTTTTATAATTTTTATCATTTTCAGAATTCTTTTTTTCTTCTGCCTATCTCGCTCGCTCTTTCCATTATTCATTTTTTGTTTGTTTCATTTTGAATTTTATCGTTTTAAATATGGAATCCTATACTTTTTCCGAGATCAGTCGAAACGGGAGACGGAAATAACGTCACACGAAATATGGTCTCAATTCTTCTGAAGTTAATTTCAATTTATCAAAAAGGTTTACATTTAAAAAACAAAACCATAAAATTTGCCATTCTTGTTTGTTTTTTTTTTTTGTCGTGCAAGCATCTGTTTTTTTTTTTAAAAGAAACAATACTCATTTCCGTGTGTATTATTTTTTTGTTATATCAAGACTTACACTTCTACACTAACGATTAGAATTTTTGTTCGTTCTTTTTATTTCATTTTTCATTCGTTTCCTTTCATTTTTCATTCGCTTCATCAGACTTTTTTCTAAGATAAATTAGATTTTCCGCACCATATATCGCAACTATTACGTTTTCCCTGTGTGTTTCGTCCTCTAGCAAATGTTTTCTTTTTGTTATCAAATTTCTCATCGAACTGTTATCGATCACGATATTTTGGTTTGTGCTTTGCTTTAAAAATAAAACCAACACGAATTTCGAAATTCGATTAATTCATCAAAATGTCATATTTTCTCAATGCAAAAAAATCTGCCATGCCAAAATGCGAGCAACGGTGCTTGTTTTTTTTAACATTTTTTTACAAATATTCATTTTAATGGATATTACATTTTGTTCTTGATTATTGAGGAAGAAAGATTTTTTTTTTTTTGCTTTTCTTAAATTACAAATAACGAGCAAAATTCGTGCGATGAAACATTTCTAGTCAAAATCGTGGAGAGTTTGTTCATTTGTTTTTTTAAAATATTTTTTTTTTTCATGGAAAACTATACAAAATTTAATTTGAAAAAAATATGCTAGCGAAATTACAAAATGTTTGTGTGCTTTTTTTAAATTTATCTTATCATAAAAGTCAATAATTGATATCATATCGGGATGCAAAAAGAAATGTTAATATAAAAACTTGTTGATGGATTTTCTGAATTTGGCCAGTGTGTCCCATGAAGGATGACATTGATTTAGTAAAAAAGAATGTCTGTTTTATTTAACTTATTTGGCTATCATTATGAACGATTAAACATTTAATGAAAAATCTCTGTCTTTACGAAACTGAACAATGGATTCAAATATTGAATTCAATTCGAGTATTTGAACGAAGTTTTAATGCAAAATAAAACTAATCAATCATCGAAATCTCAAAAGCTTAATGGTTAAAGTGTATTGACGACTCCCTTTATGCAATACATTACACATTTTTGACGTCTGCTCGAAAAACGAACCAATTTTTGAAAAACATTTTTGTTTTAAAGCAAAAAAAAAGAATGCTCACCCGAATCGTTTTTACATTTTCTTTGTAATGTTCCATGGAGTGCACTTTAAGCATTTAAAGTATTAGTTAAAATTTGAAAATCTTCAAGACATATTGAATAAAATGTCGTTAATTGAAAGAAAAAATCCAGAGAATTCTGTTTAATTGATATCTCATCCCGATCTGTTTTCGGTGTCATAAAAGTCTTGCATTAAATCATCATTTTATTTTCATTTTCCGTGACATTTCATTTCGTATTGTGATCAGAACGTTCCCATCACATAGGGATTGTGTCAATTTTATCATCTCAATATTCCATTTCTATTTCATTTTCGGTTGATTGTTGTATTTGTATTGTAATATACTATTGAAAACTGTAACTGTGTAATAAACATAAAAAATAAATGAAAAAACATTGAAATCTATTGTCGCTTTTGGTTGATTTTCGGTTGCGAGTTTGGTTCAATTCATAATTTTCGGTTTGAATAAAACCATAGTGTCTATTTCTTTTGTTTAAATGTGGAACAAATTGTAAATTGTAACATTGTACAAACAACAGGATTTAGTTTTGGTCTATTATAAATTGTAATCTATTTGTAATTAGTATTTGATCTGTGTCATTTGTGGAAAACGGATTAATTAGGTATTGTTTGTTCATTTGTTTGTTTTAAAAGAGGGTTTGTGGAGGTCTGTTAGGCAAATTGGGGGCTATCATCAATCTCTATGTTTTTGGGCTAGCAATTTTCTTGTTAATTCTATAAATCCCATTTAATCTCTCATTCGGTGCTATGGTTTCATATGTCTCTTGTTCATTGTGTTTGTTTTAATAAAAAAAATAACAACGTTTTTTCTTCATATAAATAACAAACTGCTTCTTTAATGCTATTTTGTGTATTTCTTATGCATTTGTAGTACCGATATAAAAAATGTGCTGTAACAACGGAATTGCACGCGGGACAGACAACAGAAAACTGTATTTTTCATTTTATTTTCATCTTTTTAGAATTCAACAATAAACGAAAATCGTTTGAAATACTGTGGGCACTGTGTATGTGTGTATATTGACCAAGCGTTTAGAAAGACATACATTTATGCGAGCAATTGAATGATGCTTGCATCATTTGATGCGCATCGGTTTTGCTGTCGCCATACATTCGGATCTTCGGCAGCGCACGAAGTGCTCCGAACGCACAACGAAAGCACTAGCGATGCGCATCAAATGATGCAAGCATCATTCAATTGCTCGCATAAATGTATGTCTTTCTGAACGCTTGATATTGACGGATTTGATCTGGTAAATGCCAGCAAAATGAAAATGAATGTGAGCAATGGCAAATCACATTTATTGATCATTTCTGTCGCGTGTCACATTCATTCTCTGGCACATTTATATTGATTGACATTAGACGAAATGCAAAACAAGAAAAACTTGTTGCATAAATCTCATTTCTAAATATGTAAAGATACATAGGTTGAATTTATTTTATTGAAAAGAGATGCGTCCATGTCTCTATATTGTTGTTATTTCTTTTATTTATGAAAAGCAATACGAAAAACGAAAAACGGTTTATAACATTTAAAACAATGTTTATGGATGAATCTATGGTACAAAAAACAAAAAAGCAATAAGGCTTCTTTCTATTGAAAATGTGTGATTGGAATAAAACTGAAGTTGAATGATATGATGCGATCATTGGGGATAGCTGATGTCCGTATTTAATTAATGTATATAATTAGAATTTGTCTTAGCTATTGTTGCAATTGTTGTGTGTTTCATTTGACATAAAAAAATATTCTTACAAAAATTCTCTTAATTATTTTGCAATTGTAAAATTGTGTGTTGCACTGTCATTCTCTAATTCAGTATTATTGTAATAATTGGTATAGTAGCTTCTGTTTCTGTGTACTATTTTCTCTTATCGGTTCACTTTTTTCTTTTAATAATATAAAAATTCTTTGTTTATGGAATCGATTGATTGCTGTGCACATCAAATGTTTCCATTCAAAATCAATAGCTCATGAAATTTTGACACCACTTTCTTCAAAAATCAAATCGAATTCGATGGTTTTATTTGAACAATGCTAATTTTATCAAAACTCATGAATATGGTTAATAGTGCTTTTCAGCTTTAAAAAAAAGATCAAAATTCAACAGAATTATTCACACTGGAACAAATAGAAATATAATATAAAAATGATGTTAAAAGGATGCAAAATCCAAACATAAATGATGTTCAACTGATGAAATTTGGTGAATATTCGACTTGTGCTTTCAGCCAAATTTTCATGATCGTTTGATTTTGGTGAACATTTGATGCACTTCAACAACAAAAATTATGTGCATGTACTTTGCGAGTGTGAGTTTAATTGTAAAAAATAGCACCACTTTGTACATTCATTTTGTATGTTATAATGTTATTGTGTAATGTGTTGTGAAAATAAAAAATGAAAACTTTTCCAAACATATTCATTTTTGTCTGTGTTTTTTTTCTCGCCTTTTTCCTATGCGTGAATCATGCAAACTTTAAGAATGCTCCGAAGCCAAATGAGTAAATTTTTCGTTCTTTGAAAGGGAATATTTTTTTTTGGTTGTTGTCACAAATGAGAAACAGTTTGCATGGTCATTGATTTGATTTGATTTTCGGGATTTTTGTAGCTTTCTAAATTTGGTTTGTATTTAAAAAAAAATAAAACAAAAAGCGCATTGGTGGGTGTTTTTATCTTATTAAAATTCGCTAGCCCAAATTAACTATTGTTCAATTGTATTTCTGTGTGTATGTGTTTGTATGTTATTGAGTGTTCAATATTATTTTATATCTCCTGTTAAATGATTTGTTGTATTTGCATGTGTCTATTTATAAATGTAATAACAAAAATGTGATCTGTAAAATGAACGCTGTTTGAATTGTTGTAGTTCTATTATTTTGTGTATTTTTTTCTTTGTTTCACTTTTTCAATATATTAATTAGTTTGCATTTTATTTCAACTTCGAATGAAATGCATATTTCATTTTGTTTCAACCTTTTGCTCCTGTTCCATTTTCCATGGATCGTCATCGTCGTCATTGTTTTCTTCTTCTTTTAAATTCAAATTCATAAATAGCTAGATTTAAGCTAGGCACTCTCGTTCCGTTTAAACACTATGTTTTGGGCTGTGTTTCTCTTCTACTCTCCCTCCATTTTGGTTTCTCATTTATATTTCACTTTTCCTTTTAATTTGCGTTGCATCGTGTACGGCGATTCACATCATTAACCATTCTTCACATTATTTATTCATACGATTATACATATTGAAGTAAACACTCTATAAAATTGTTATTCCACGTAATAGCTATTTTAAAATCGCATGCTCTTAAATTACTGCCGATTGTTTGTGAAAAGAAAAAGCTTGAATAAAAAATGACAACAACAACAATAAAAAAATGTGCAAATGAAAATGCGTTTCTTGGACAAGTAATTGGCTCTTCATTTTACTTACGTTAAAGTCTTCAAAATTCGTCAAAAAATTATTATTATTTGTTTGAAGTAGTTTTTGGTCCGATTTCATTCAGGAAAGTACGAGTAAAAACAAATTAATAAAGAAGATGAGATCCATGGTCTCCAAATTTAAGGTTTAACGATGGCAAGCGCCTCGAAAATAATGAAAATTATACTTATTGTTGGCAAATCTGTTCGATGTATGAATCAGTATGAATGTCGAACAAAATAGTACGGTTTAACTTTGTATGTATCCGAAAAAAATATATGAAAAAATGGATTCTTTTATTCTTAATTTTTTCGGGCGCGCTTCAAAGTCAAATGGCTATTTATTTCCGATTTGAACGGTTGTTTTTAGATCAGCAAGTTTTGATGAATGAAAATTGACAAATTGATCGAACGAAAAGATCTTTCAATGGTTCATTGAAAATTTCAGAATAATGCGGAAGCATAATTATGATCGCTGATCTCGGCTCAATGTTATTTGATGAGATTTTAGTTATTTTTAACATTTTGTGTTAGTTCCGTTATGGATTTCAATAATTGGCTTCAAAAAGGCCACCCAAATATTTTGCACTGTGAATTAATTGCAAAAGACCTTTTTTTTTCTTTCGTCCAGAGCAGTATCCAGGGAACGCATCTAAAAAAATTAAATTCAAATATAAATAAATAAAATAAAACAAAAAGAATGGGGCAAACAAAATTAAAAAAATTCATAAAAATTTTCAAAGCAGAAAAAGAAAGATGGAAAAAAATCATTATTGAATATATTAAAAATTTGTCTGATCGAATATGAGTGCGTGCTAACTAAATTCTAATTTGTGTATTACAATGTTTTGCTGCTACATTTATCTAAAATGAATCAAATAAAATTGTTTTTTTTTTTTTATTCTTTCTGATTGCTGTGTTTGTCTCTCTCACTGTGTGTGTGTCATTCCGTTTTTGTTGAAAACTTTTATTGCCTATATTTAATTCTTTGCTTTCTAATGTTTAATTGCGATTTGATCAATTTTCAATTGTTGACTCGATTCATCACACAATGGACAATCTTCTCTTTCTCTCTGTCTGTATCTCCGTTATTTTGCTCATACTTGCACGCATTTATTGTAATTATTGTTCTTTTTCTTTATTTCTTTGTGTATCGTTTAAAAACTAAATCTCTCAAACGAATTTGTTCGAGGTGTCGATTTTTTCTTTTAAAATCACAATTTAAATTTTATTAAATTGATAAAATGACGAATCTGTCTCTACAAATAAAAATCAACAAAAAAAATATTATTAAAATTTAAAAAGAGAAAATAAAATAAAATGATTAAAGATCACTTGATGAGAGAGATAAAGAAAACGAAGATATAGAAAAAAATCCTTTTCTTATATCTAATTCTTTCCTTTCATTTTAACTAAATGATTTGTTTTTTTGTTTTATTGTGTGTGTGTATATTTTGCGGTGGAATTGCATACGAGTTATGATTAAAAAGAAGAAAAACTTATAAGTTCACTACAGTGAGCATGACTAAAATAATAAAATTCGAATCTAAAATTGGTTGCATTGTATGTTTCTTATGAGTCATAAGTTATGACCTAGAAGAAATTCGTTTAAATAGTTCCCAATCTGAATTATTCAAGTTTTCTTTTTTCACTTGTTTGCTTTTTTTTGTGTGTTGCATATACAAATACACGAGAAGAAGACATCTATTTTAAATCGCAATGTGAAATCGAAGAAATCGCTGACGCTGCAACTAATTGTATAATGTATATGACTAAAAAAATTCGATATTTTCTTTAACAACAAAATTAAACTACGTGTAGAAAATTAAAAAAAAATGCTTCATCAAAGGAAAAATCGATCGATAAAATCCGAAGCAACATATGTAGAAAACGAAACAATGAATCCTAATTGAAATAATCATGATGGCAAACTATATTCGATTTGCTTCATGTTGAATCTACTCCTATAATTGGCATATTCACTTGTTATTTTTGTGTATATGTATAATTGGGGTTTTCCTTGTTGCCATTAAAACAGTCTTACTAAACTTAAGTTCTCTCACTGATAAACAAACAAAAAAAAAATTATTCAGAAGAATTTTTAAATGAAAACAAATATTTCATTCACTTGGGTTTGTGTAACTGCTAAATGAAATGCACCACGGTAAAAAAATGAAAATTATCAAAAAAAAATGTACACAAATTGAAACGAAGCTATATGCTCGACTTCCCATGCATTGGCAAGAGCCCGTCGAAAAAAAAAATAATCACAAACTTAGTTAATAAAAAAAAATGTGCAAGGAGAACAGAAAAATAAACAAAAGCCTTTTACTTATATAGTATTTCTTAATTTTTCTTTCTTCGTTTCGCGTTCACATTCCGAATGGCACCGATCTAGTCACTGTGTATCACAATAGTCCATATTAAATCCGGTTCTCGATTTCTCTCACAAACAAAACCATTAACTTTTCGGTAAAAGGAGATTGCATCAGAGCAGAAAAAAAACTACATAATTAACACATACAGTTTCGTTTTCATAAATGTTGCACCTTTTTTGCTTCTCGTTTTCCTCTACATTTTGTGAATGCTCACAATGGCCCTACATTTTCTAAAATATGGCAATTATAATCAATTGGGGGGGGGGGGGGTTATTTTATTGCACTCGAAATGAAAATTTGCAATTTTCAATTTCATCTTTTCGTAGAAAAAAAACAGTATGGCATTGTTTATCTGTGGAACAAATCGATTCCATGTAGATATCTAGAAACAACTCTTGGTTATATATAATGATAACATTTGTCTTCTCATTGTTTGCGTGAATTATGAGTGAATTGCCAAGAGTTTTCGGTTTTTTTTTTTGTTTTTCTTTTCTCGAAACGATCAAAATCGATCGATCATCCACTTCGAATCGGTATATTTGCGCGCAAATTGTAACTTTTTCTCTCATTTCCTTTTTTTTTGGAAAGACAATATTAAAAACTAAACAAAAACAAAAATCATACTCTGGAAAATGGCCAATATGAAGATCATTTGATTTATGTTTTTCATTCCATTCGCTTCCTGACTTCGACCGAAAAAAAAACATTTGTTAATACAAATGTTTACATTCATTTTCTGTGTGAAGAACTACGATTATTTAATTGATCGACAAAAGAAACATTTATATATATATATTGAGGTCCTCACGAGAAATAAACAGTTTCAAATGCGTTCAATGAATAGCGATTTTGTGTTTTTTCTCCGCTCTTTTTCTTTTTTTTCACTCTATCTCTCTCTCTCTCTCTCTCTCTCTTTCTCGCCACTTGTATAGATTTCTATTAATATATTGATCATTTTAAGAGCGTATTAATATAAAGAATATCTACATCTAAATATTGTTGTTTTATGAATTTTTTTCTTTCTCTCTAATGAAACGTAGGTCCGCATCATTCTCTTCTTTTTATTTCGTGTCTGCTGAATTATCTCTTGTTACTCTTTTCGTTCTGCATCTGCTTAACTTCATCTCTTTTGTATAGTTCTCTTTCGCTTGCATTTTCTTCGATTTAAAAACACTGTCCGGGTACTTTTATATATACGACATGTAACCATCAATGTAATAGATTGGATTTGTTTTGTTTTGTTGTTTAGAGTTTCTGTAATTTTTTGCATTTATCACGGCATGTGCTGCGGAGCAAAGGTTGAATGTCACTGTGCAACGGCTGGAGGTTGAATTGCTGAGGATGTTGCTGTCGATGTGTTGGCATTAGGTACCTGAAAATGTCACAACTATTTATTATAAATGAACTTTGAGAAGACTGCCAATTTTTTGTGTTTCTTTTTTTTACCGATGAATTATTTGTCGTTCCAACACTGCTGCTGTGTGCTTGTTGCTGAGCGCCAAATTGGTTTCCAAACGGAGGTGCATAACATTGCGGGAAGTAAAGTTCGTGTTTGATCGATGGATTCATGCGTGGTATTAGATTGTTTTGTTTATCCATTGAGAGTTGAAAGGGTGTTTTGGTACCGTCAATTGGTGCGGGCATTGCAACAGCCGCCGCTGCCGCATTTACTGCAGCTGCTGCAGCAGCGGCATTATTCATTTGATTACGACGCGATTTTGACGAATGCGGACTAAAAATAAATGGTATTTGAACCATTAAAGTTTAATCAATTCGGAAACATAAGAATTTCGGTCAATGAAAACTCACTTCATATGATTATCTATATGCTTTTTGACATCCGGTTCCGTTGCAAAGCGTCGCCTGCAATTCGGCATTGGACAACAGAATGGCCGATCACCCTGATTTAGAAACGAGAAAATGATTCGAATTTGATTAACATGCAATCAAAATGATGTTGAGTCATCGCTCAATGACTTTAATTGTGATGGTTTTGAAAACAACTACCTGGTGGGTACGCGTGTGCTGATCTAAGATTGCCTTTTGTCGGAAATCTTTGCCACATTGGCCGCATCTGAAACAAATAATTTGTCGTTGTAGCATATTCAATAATGGAATAAAGTACACTTCTAGAGGGATTGACATCGGACAAATGATTTATTTGGCTTGCACTGGTGTCTAGCCCCCCATGAAAACTTTGTTGATCTAATTAACTTGTTTACTTACTTGTACGGTTTCTCACCCGTATGGATACGTATGTGCTGTGTGTAGATGAGAATGGAAATTAGTATCAAAGTCGTTTTCCAAAGAACGATGGAACCAAGTAATGAAAATGGTCAACATTCAATTACATTTGATGGTTCTAGGCTTTCCATAAATGATGTGAGTACGTATACAATTTATGGTGCACACAGTTCCGTCGTTCTTTCGTTTCAATGTTTCAGTTTATTTTCTTTTGGATTCTTATTTACCTGATTCAGTATGGTCCTTTGGCGGAAGAATCTCGGACAATAAATGCAACCATATGGTTTTTCATTCGTATGGATTCGCAGATGTTGTGTAAGATGCGATTGTTGACGGAATCGTTTTCCGCATTCCGGACACTGTTTTTTTTTAATTCAAAGGGTTAAAAATGATTCGAATCGTGTGTTTCGTTGCATATATGCCGTTTAATACTTACAGGGTATGGCCTCGATTCAATGTGAATGCATCCGTGTTGCAGAAGCGTACTCTTTTGTTTAAATTCTTTTTGGCAAATCGGACAACGTACGTATAATGGCATGCCAGCATTTCGGCCTTGTTGCAATACATCGGGCAGCATTCCCTTTTGTCCCGGTTTTAAATACTGCAATGAGCCCAAATTTCCACCAAACACCGAATGATTGTTTCCTTTTGCATCTTTGAAATAGGCAGGATACTGAAGACCGGCACCGGCACCACCTTGAATAGAAAAATATGCTCTTGATTCGGCCGTATCGTTGGCACTATCGTCGATATAACCATTATTTTCTGTGTGTTTGTGTTTGTCTTTTATGTGCTCGTCACTTTTTTGTTGTTCAGTGTGCGGTTTCGTTTCTCCGTCGCCATCATCACCGGGAAATGGTAAATCAAATGGCCACAGTGTTGCATGTGATTCACCGCATCGTTTGAACACAAGATGTGGCGAAACGTCTGTAAAATGTATGAGGGGGAGGAAGGCAAAAACAAAAACACAAAAAGAAAATTGTTCGGTTAGGCCAACGAATGCCATTTTCAAAAAAATAACATTATTGTTTTCAACATTATTTGTCTCAATTTTAACGGCAAGTTTCTAGTAGTTTTTTTTTTTTTGGGTTTCAATTTCATTAATTAAAATCAACACAAATGTTCGTGATATGAACTTTTTTTTGGATTGAGATTAGTGGGTTTTCTCATTTCATGTGTATGTGTGTGTGTCGATCGAATGTGAGAAATTTTTCAAGACAAATGTGAAAATACACTGATTTTGAATCAATTTTTGTTGGAATGTTCGGGTCTTTGTAGAGACACACACGTTTGTTTACATCTTTGCATATCATTAGCAAACAGATCAGATCACACACCAGAGAGAACGAGTTGCATTCTCGCAATTTGGAAAACAGAAAGCATTTGCTAAATAAAGAAAAACACAAACAATTTCATGTCGAATGTCATTGAATATTGATATGTGTTGGCTGGTGTTAGCAATTATTATTGAAAATAAATAAAACATTCGACCAATTCGTTTGGATGAAAAAAAAGAAATGCATGAAACCGATAGCCGATATGGTTTATGAATTGAATCATAATGAGATATCACATAAGTAGAAAACGTTTTAGTTCGGTTTCGCTTGTGATTGTGTGAATGTGTGTCTCTTTTCTTTTCGATTTCTCTCGTTCTCTCGTAATTGATTTTTTTTTTCTTCACAAACAATCAGATCAAATCAACAACAGAAAGTGTAAAAGTAGCGGTCAATAACTGTGTTGCTCGCCTTGATGCGTTCGCACATGCTGATTGAGGATTGCTTTCTGGCGAAAATGTTTCCCACACTCAGGACACGTGAACGGCTTCTCACCCGAGTGGATACGTAGATGCTGATTTAAAATTGCACGTTGTCGAAAACTTCTCGGACAATACGCACACGAAAATGGCTTCTCATTTGCATGAATCCTTAGATGCTGCGTCAAATGGCTTTGTTGACGAAACCGCTTTCCACACTCAGGGCACTGGAGAGAGAGGCAAACAAACATAAAATGATGAAACAATTACCTTAAGTCATTTATTCTAAACACTCAAATTTTTTTTAGCGCCAATTGTTATTCACATTTCCAATAGTACACGCGTTTACAGGATTACACTATAGTACATTTGTTTTCCATTTTAATTCCTTCTGACAGATGTGTCAACATACTTGATCACCAGGATTCCGAGGTAATTTTTTCAATTATCCCTCCATAAATGTCTACCTTGATCAAGTAGTTGCATTAACCTTATCTTGACTTGGTTTTAAATAAAAGCAAAATCCTATAAACGTGTTTACTATGTTTACTTTTCAATCTATATATAGCAAAGGCCAATGACAGTTGTCGCCAAAATTCTCTCTGTGTAGCAATGTAGAAATGTTTAACATATTAGAATATTTTGTTTGACTACTTGTAAAAAATCGGATTAATTCTCGTCTAGCTTCTTTGAGCGAATTAGAATGGCAAATATGGTGATCGAAATCACCCTGGTCGGAAACAGTTTCAGTATAAAATCGACCTTACCTCATACTCAAAACATACAAATTTTTCACTTTTTTCCAAATAAACGAAACAAAACTATAAGAAAAAAATGGTTCTTTTTTATAAAAAAAAACTTACTCCGTACGGCCGTGTATCGGTGTGTATACGTTCGTGTTGTAATAGTGTACTCTTTTGTTTAAAATCTTTCCCGCATGTCAAACACTTGAATAGCCGTAAATCGGATCCTTTGGATTTGATTGAGCCGCCTGGTGACGGTGATGTTTGGTGCATATTATGGCCGGGCAATAGATCCGGTATGCCTTGATTGTATTGTTCTAGCGCCTGCTGTGCTTGTTCCATACTTAAACCGGGCAACGGTTTATTCAAGTAATGTAATGGCGGAAAACCAGGCGGCGCCAACATCGCCTGACCTGGATGCCTATAATAATTGAGCTCGGCTTGTGATGCATCAAAGCATTGTACTCCATCGCTATCGCACGAAACGAAAATGAGAAAATATATTTAAAAACAATTGATACAACATTTGCACGAGACTTGCAATTCAGAATCTTGAGAGCGATCATGTATTCCTCACACGAGCACACGTTCACACCCACACAAGTTCTCCTCGTGTCAAACTTGATTTAATCCGAATATGTGTGTGAGACAACGAAAGAGAATACAATCACAATTTATGGTGTGCAATTCACGATTTTGTAAGACAACGATTGATCGTTTCCGAGATTCCGAATTTCAATGAAATAAATAAAAACTGATTTTATCGAAAGCATGAAAACAAAAAGTGCTGTTTTTTTTTTACTTTCGAATTGGCTGACTATTCGACGTGTTGCTTTGCTGTTGGCTATTCTGTTGTTGATTTTGATCGGCGGACATATCGATGTTTTGTTCTGGCGAAGATTGTTGATTTGATTGTTGTTGTTGTTGCTGCTGCTGTTGGCCGTTTTGTGTAACATTTTGGTTCTGATGCTGCTGATGCAACGAGTTCACCTGAATATCGTCAAAACCAACAAAACGATAAATTCATTTAATTTACTTGCAAACGGGAAACATTTTTCAATTGAAATCAATTGTAAACCATTTTTGGGTGTATGGTGCAGTTTTCCATTTGACAAAACGGTGAAATGATATAGAGGAGAGAGAGAGAGAGAGAGAGAGAGAGACAAAAAAGCAACGAACCTGATTAATGGCGACATCTTCGTCCATATCTTGATTGGCATTGGTTTGTTGTGGGTGTGCGGCGGCGGCTGGTGAGGGTAAATTGCGATGTGTATTTTCGTTTTGTTGCTGTTGCTGTGATTCGTCCCTCGGGCTAGTCGGAGCTGTGTGTTGTGTTGGTAGCTGCTGTTGATGCTGATTATTGCTATACATTGATATTTTGTTTTTGGTGGAAAATAGAAAAACAACAATGTCATCAGATATATGTTTATAACGCGCGCGCGCGCACGTACAATTCGAATCGAATTAAGGAACAACATTTGATTTTTTTTGCATGTGTATTGAATGTGTAATTTGCGTGTAACTTTTTTTATGTATTTTAAATTTGAGAATTAAATAGATAAAAGATCTAAAATAATAAATCTAACAGTTAACTAAAATCAAAATGTAATGAATGATATTTGAGACAATAGAATTATGTGGGCTCATGGCTGAAAGATTTGAATTCGTACTATCGAATGTTTTTCATTCGTTTTTGAATGTCTAGTCTAGTCTATATTTTGTTGATAACACTCTGCATATTTTCAACAGGCACGACATTCATAGCTTGTTTTGTTTTGTTTTTTAATATTGTGTCTGTATGTTATTTGAGATGATCTGGAGAAGGTCGATTGCATGTTATTTCACTTACTGGCTTTGATGAGGATACATATCTGCGCTCCATTGTCCAGATGAGGTTAACGCATTGCGTTCGGCCGCCTCTTGTGAATCTTTATAGAGAACGTATGGCGCAGTATCTTGCGAAATACAATACATAATTTGTCGTGGAACCTTTAGGCCGGCCGCTAGGCATGCAGCGAACGAGGCAGAAAAATTTATTGCCATCTTGCTTGTTTGCTACTCGGTTAGCTTGTGTGCAATCAATTTTCGATATTTTATTCTCTCTCGCTTCTTTTCTCTCTATCTCAATCGATCTGCCTAAGAGTGTTTACTATTTACTTAGTTTGTTTGTGCTAAGCTTTGTTTTTATATTCTTCGCCGACTTGCGTTTAATTCTCGTGTGTGTGTGGTTCTTTTTTATTTATTGGCGCCAAATAACTCTTTTGTTTTGATTAGCTCTTCGTACGTATTGTATTTGATTCGCTTTTCTATCTACCTTTTTGTTTTGGTTTTTTTAGTCAGTGGAGTTTGAGCATTTTTCACATGGTTTATTGGTATTGTATTGCATTGTTTTCACTGTGAGTGATTTGTTTACCCACCCATTGGCATTGTTTCTCTCATAAAACAATTTTAATCAACAAAGCGACCAAGTTTTACGCTTTTTATGCACTTTAGTAAACGATCTCGATGCAACGCACACACACACATACGCACACCGAGAGCGGGTGAGAGAGTGTGCTAAAGATAAAAGCTAGTTTCAAATAGATCGTTTGTTCTTTTTGTGTCTGTTTTGGTTTTGTTCGATTGTTATTTTTATTATGCGATTGATATTACAATGCCAGACCAAATGAGAATGAGACAGAGAGAATAGTATGTGGTGAGCTTTTTTTTCTCGCTTATTTATTTTGCAATCGTTGGCGCATTTGTAAATTGGTTGATTAGTTAACGCGTATGAGGAGAAGATGTCGCCGCGTCACAGTCGACGACGGACGACGGCGATGAAAAAGAAGGAGGACGACAACGACGATGATGACAACGACGACGACGACGACGACGACCGCGACGACAGTGAGATGATGGTACGATTATCGTTGTATCGAATGAACAAACGCAATGCAATTGTGTTGATTTTTGCTGCGCTTTATGCATATGCTTATATTCATGCTTTTATCGTCGATAGGCCAGTTGTGTGTATTGTTTTCTTCTGTCTGCAATCAAATTTAAATCACAATAAATTTCAATTAGTAAAATTGTTCATTTATTTTTTGTTTATATAAACTAGAAAGAGAGATAGAGAGATAGAGATAGAGAGAGAAAGAGAGACAAAGGAAAAGGTAGAGAGCATAAATTTTAAGAAGCTAACTTATCAAAATGAGGATTCATTGAATTTTGGTGGAGTGAGGTGTTGTGAAATTAGTGTAATTACCGAGAAGCTTTTTTTACTCTATTAGAATTAATTGCTTCTTTATGATTTTCTGATTGCTTATCATAAAAATATAGAAACACGCACGTTGACAATGATAGCCAACATATTCGATTCAAATATCGCACGAACGGTGAAATTGCCTATCAAAATGCGTTGTAGCTACTGAATTTTGTGCGCCGAATACTAAAATTTCCATTCAATATTGAATTTAAGTGAAAATGCAATGTTCAATAAATGCACGTTCTTGCCGTTTGATATTATGCGGATCGTATAGTCTATATATGTAGATTTTCTCTCTCTATCTCTTCCTTCCATCTCTCTCGGTATGAATGAGAATACACAAACCGAAAAATGGCAAAGTGCAATGAATTCTTTGCTTTTGATGCGACGCATTTAGAATTTAGAAAGTTGTGAAGAGTGTGTGGAATTTCTTTTTTTTATATACATAAACTATACAGTATATCTCACATGTAAAATGTCGAGTGTGAATTTTATAGCTAAAATTGTGAGATCGATTTGGATTTTGAGATTATTTTCATTTCTCGAGTGAGTTTCGAGATAAAGGGAGATAGAATATGGTCGAAGAGAGTGTATGCATATTCCTTGACATACAGCCAACGTGCACGCAACAAATCAACCAAAGTGCGATGAATGCGCGCGAGAATTCTAACGTGTACATTTGAAGAAAAAAGAGTTGAATAAAAAAGAGATGACTCGGTGACGAGTTCGCGCATTTGTTTCATATCTTTTCATTTTTGCTTCTTTGACTGGTACTTGGTGTGCTTTATTTGTTTTATATATATTTCTCTCTCTCTCTCTCTCTCTCTCTCTCTCTCTCTCTCTCTCTCTCTTTGTCTCGGTCTCTTGTTTGTATCTCCACTCTGTGGATACATCCATTTCAAAATGCTCACACATAAAATAAAACCATGATTGTACAGAAAACGCAAAAACGAATAGAAGCGAAATAACAACAACAACAACAAAAAAGGAAAGAAAAATAAACACAAAACTGTGAACGAAATAAAATGGAAAAAAAGCACACGCAGAAAATAACGACAGAATCATTTATATTTATAGGTATAGACGAATGACAAGCGAGAGCAAGCACATATTGCACATTATTTATAAAAATACAAAATGCTATATAGTGTATATAAAAGGGAAAGAGAGAGAGAGAGAAAGAGAAAAATGCGCCACAATATCATATACACACGGGCCAAGCCGGGCCAGATATAAAAAAGAAAGAAAAGCGAGCGGGCACAGAACTTTACGCTCAACACGAAAACAGAGGAAAAGGAAAAAGAAGCAGAGCAACAACAGTAGAAGAAGAACAAAATAGTCGGTCGCATTGTGTGTGCAATTTTGCAATGCATTCAATTCATACGTTGTTACAAATAATATTATTCATTCGCACAAAACAATACACATATATCACATAGAATACATCACAGAGAGACGGTCAGAGTGAGAGAGTGAGCAAGTGAGAGAGATAGAGAGAGAGAGAGAAGGGCAAAACGGATCGTGCACATAGTGTATGTGTGTTGCGTTCTTGCTTCTGCTCTCGCGCATTTCATTCTCGTTGTGTTATTATTATTATGGTTGTTGCTGTTGTCGTCGTCGTCGTCGTCGCCGCCGCCGTCAGTCTGAAAGTATATATGCTGTTGCACTAAATGGATATAGAGGGAATATATCGCGCGCGAGCTTCGGTCGTTCGGCGTTCGTTGTGTTTTTATAATTATTTGAATAAGAGTGAGTCAATGAACTCAAGACTCTCAGTACTCAGTACTTGGCGCGTTTTGCACGCTCGCTTTCTCTCTCTCTCTCTGTCTTCCTCTCTCCGTTCCTCCATCCCGTCCCATTTTTGCTCTGCCAAAAAAAAAACGTTTCTCGCCCAGTATGAGACATATAAAATCCATACAAACATTGTGTTATTCGCTTGAGCCGAGTGTTTGTCGTTGTTGTTGTTTCTTTTTTATTTTATTTTTCATCGTTATTATTATTTTATTTCGCATTTGTTTGTTTGTTTGAACTTGCCAATCGAACGCACAATGAGTAAAATACACTATTTAAGACTATACCTCGAATGCATTTTCGAATGGCGCAAAGCGCGTTCGCTCACACTCATTCGCTCGTTTAACTGATTCACTCTATAAATGCAATCCATAAAACATGATCCTGTGCTAGTCTTTGTGCTCTCGAATTGACTCTTTCTCCTCGTTGTTTTTGCTATTTTTCTATTTTAATGTCTGTTGTTATTGTTGTTACTGTTGCTGTTGTTATTGTTTAATTTTATTTTTCCTTTTTCTTTTTTTTCGGGGTCGGTTTTTATTCCATTTTTGTTATTGTTTCGCTGAATGGATATCGCGATGATAATATCGAGTTGAGCGCACTTATAAATTTACATACATCAAATTTATTGACTCGATGCTGTTGTGTGTACGTGTGTGCGCGCGCGCGCTCTTTTGTGTGAAATGAAATGTACAATAAGCTGTTTCGAGTTTGCTGGAGATTTCTCTCATATAGTTTTTTTTATTTCTCATTTCTCTCCATCTTTCTCACTATTGCTCATTTAACACGCATTTACCTCACGCGTCATCAATGAATGCGCTTTTCACAAAACATTAACACTTTGTTTTTTTTTAATTATTCGATTAGTCGCTTAGTTAGGTACAATTTTAAGTGACTTACGGCAGGCTAAAACATCTTTCTTAAACAAAATGGGATAAATTCAGTCAAAGACAACAACAACAACAACCAAAACACCGTTCAAATTCACGCGACTTTGATTTTCGAAAAACTTTGCCAATTCTCTCTCCGTTGTTGAATAAAGCATGTGAAGAAATGACGGATGTACAAGACAAATTGTCGCGAGATACATCGTTTTGCAATTCATTTATTAAAATTATTTTAGAAAAACACGCGATGAACACGGTTTTATCAATGAAAATTGGATAGGCGGCTCAATGATGATGTTGTGATTTTTATCCTTCAATGAAATCGCATTAATAAAATCGGTTAGTTTGCATGAAAAATGGATATGAATGAGACTAGGAAAATAAACTGAATTTGATGAATGTTGATGTTTGTACAAGATGCAAGCGAACAAAAAAAATTCTAAATTTAAAACACGCAGTAAATGTGTGTTCTTTTAAAGAACATGCATTCGGCGAGATCTAGAGAATGAGAGAGATTCTAAGCTAAATTTGCATGCCATCATGTTGCAATAAGGATGAATTTTATCTGCACATGATTAATGATTCTGCCAGCAATACACTTTTAGAACAACACACAAATAAAATGCTGTTGTTGCCTTCATTATTCATTTTTCCAATTCTGTGTCCCTCTCTTGCTGCTTCTCTCCCTCTCCCTCTCTCTCTCTCTCTCTCTCTCTCTCTCTCTCAGTTTTTCTTTATGCAAAGCATGCAACAACAGAAAATAATATAAATCAATGCATAATGAAAGATATTACGTGGCCTATTCTTGTGCAATTGCAGCGACGGCGGGTCGAAAAACTTTTGACAATTCGACAGAGTTTGTTTTTGAAGGTGACATAGAAGAGTAACAGAGAGAGATAAAAATATGTCCCGTTGGGGAAAATGCAATTGCCATTAGCATCAACACGAGCCAATCAGCTTTCTTTTAACTCTTTACCAACTGCCAAAAATAAAATTGATCTTTTCATTTTGCTTCACTTGAATGAATCCATCATTTTCCATTACTCAAAATCTCTCTCATAAATTGAAAATTAGATCCTTTTACGAAATAACTTAAATACTTTACAATTTGTGACTGGCGTTTATGTGTCACAAACAAATTTGTATTTTTCCAAAAATGAGCTTACCCTGAAAATGTGATTTATTTGTAATCGAAATTATGTTGCACATACGAGTATATGCAATTTTGCATTGTTCCGATGAGAGCATGCATCCTTTTAAAATTTTCATGAAAAACTGTCGTCGGCTCTCATTGTTCCTCTTAAATAGCCATGCACAATCATGGAGTAAAACATGAACTACCCTGCATTTATATACACTACAGAAAAGCGTTCCGTTGCACGCATAAACTAACACAAATGCACACAGTGAATTTACATAAAACGAGATGAAAAAAAGCGCACACAAAAATCGATTTTAAAATAAATGCCAAAACTCAACAACAACAATAACAAAATTTCAAACGAACTGGCAGAGAAAAAAATCGCTCGTTCCGGTTTCCCGTTTTAATTTCTTTACTCGACTTTACACACACACACACAGCTTAATCCTTTTTTTTTCGTTTGTTTTGTCTTTGATTTTTTTCGATGATGTTTCGTATATGTCTCAATTTTTATTTCTTCGGTTTTTTTCTCTATCGCTTTCTTTTTACGACTCTTGTTATCCGTCGGCACAAAAAAAAACTTTTAACGACTTTGAATATTTTGTTGCGCGCCCGCACTCCGCACCGGTTAATAAATTTTTATACAATTCGACCGGCAATAAATGTTTTACCATACGCGCTCATTAAAATACACTTTTTTGCGACCGACTGAACGCGCTTACACACAATATCATCCAATTCTCGTTCTATGCAAACCATAGAGAAATCTTTATGCACGCAGATACATAACCAGCCATCATCAGTGCCAGCCGCCACAGCCAACAAAAGCGTGCACACAAAAAAAAACGCACACACACAGCCACACACACACATTGCACATTTATACACAGAAACACACATCAGAATGAAAAATAATAATAACAACAACAAAAGAATACACCGAAATATAGTTGTGCCATCATTCGA